GATTTCTTGGAGAAATCCAATGACGACTATTGTTCTGGGTTTGAAGCCTGGAGGTGTCCAGATCAAGAAGAAGCTATGCTCATTTTGAAGATAATTTTAAAGGGACTTTTATAGTTAATGCCTAAGTTTAAAAATGTTTAATGCCTAAGTTTAAAAATGTATGTAAGGTTTCAAGCATAGCCATGTAAACACCAATGTGCTTGCATGTATAATGCCAACTGTGAGCCTAAAACAGTAAGAATTGTTTGTTCCAATTTTGCCAACACTTGTTATTCTCATTGCAAACCACGCAGTATTTGCCATTTTGTGTACCTATTCTTTGAGTCATGTATTTTTAATTTTTATTTTTACATTTTTTACCTTTCACTTAAAACGCAAAACAAATTTTGTTCTCACAGTTATTGAGAAAACAAGAAAACACTAAAATGGTGTACTTCAAACAAACCAGACCAAAGACCGCAAACCCAAAAGTTCAGAAGCCCAAAGTCTAACAAGAAATGCATATGTGCTCATCCTTAAATCCCAGAGTATTTTTTAAAGTCAATTTTGAATTATGATTTTAGGGAAACACTGACTCATGAGTTTTGATTAATATAGACCAACAACAGTTCCTTATTATAATCAGTTATTAAAATGGACAAAATAATCACAGAATCACAGAATTTCTCAACCATTCGTACCTTGTAGGTAACCTTAAATAAACAATCAATGCTTGTGTTTTCTAAAACAGTAGCAACATGGATTGAACAAATCACATCATCAGTGGAAATGACTATTCAGGTATCGCTATGTAAGTGTCAAGCACTAAATAGAAAAGAATAGGCAGTCCATGTGGTTGCCAAAGAAATTGTTGAAGAAATGTATCAATCAGAATGTAAAATCAAGTCTGGAAAGTCGGAAGTCCTGGAATTACACCTATTCATTTTGCAGCCCCTGTCTGAGAAATATTGCATTTCTGAAGTGCTGGGATGCGGCCGTTCCCTCCCCTGCCGAACACCAACCTGCTTCCACCTCCCCTTGTCCTAGCACCTCAGAACACCGCCTCTCAACTCTTTGAAACTGAGGTCCATCTAGTGGGCACCACTGGGTATTACATCAGCAAGAAAGCTTAAAAGGTACACTGTCTATCCATATAAATGTGATTATTTATTTATTTATTTGTTTTATGAGATAGACTTATTTGAAAATTCTTCAGCCTGCTAGAGAGCTTCTCTGACAGACTGCATTCCTAAATGAGTCTATTGTTCTTGACAGAGATGTATTCTCATTTTTCTTTCAGGTTCATACCTGCATCCTGATGATGCTGGTGGCTTTTCCTTCATGTTCAAAATCTGGACTTTGGCTGGCCCCCAGCTGATAAATTTGCTCCCAGCTGATAAACTTAGTCCCCAGAGAAAAAGGAGAAATTTTGGAGAAGAGTGATTGATCATTGCCTGAGAGTTATGACCCATATAAATGAATTATAGATGCAGTTCTGCTATCCCTCTCTTTTTCCTTCAGCAGACATTACACCAGGAAAACTCCTGGGAGACTTAAACGGATCCTCTTGCTTGTATGCACTAGATCTTGATGCCTAGCAGATGTACAACTGGCATATCAAATATGCACACTGTACCCAAACTGTGTTTTAAAATAGGAACCCCGTGACACACAAAGGTAGAAACTTTAATTAGCATAATTAACAAACATTTTCATATCAAATTATTTTATAAAGAATAGTTGAGAGTATCCTGAGTCCCTCATCATCCTTGACTATGGAACTAAACATGGGTCAGAGAAGAGGAAACATATTGCAAAACACTTTTGAAAACATTATGTGATTTTGAGACCATCTTATCAAAATTAAACAAAAGTAAAGCTTTTTCCAGCATCAAACCAAAAGGATGTCCTGCCAGAAATGGACATGCTGCTGCATTTCACATCTGCTCATGCCAACGTGGAAAGGTAGCACTGCTGTACCCATCTACTCTCCATGGAGCCTCTCTTTACCCTTACTGCTGGAGTGAATGAGTAACTGATGAATCCAAGTCTCTGGATCACAGCCAACACACTGATCAACCCTCCTAACTCATCTTGTCTACTTCAGTGGTTTAACAGAAAGGCCATGACCACAGAGCAACTGGAATGTGGCTGCAGGTCTTGCTTTGATGGCCACTGAGCACTGAGTGACCTGCTGTGCCTGCTCTTTTTCTCCTTCATGTACCCGTATCAGGCTAATTAATTGCCCATTGGGCTGTGTTGCCACTAGTGCTTTGCATAATGAGTAGGGCAGCTTTCCCCTGACCATTAATTTCTTTAAAAATTTTCATTTGCAGCTTGACAAGACATTTTCTCTTGGTAAGATTTGAATGCTTGTTACAGGAAAGAAGACCCATTGAAATAGAACCCTTGGAAGAAGAAACTTCAGGTTTAACAGCTCAGCAATTCTGTCTGAAAAATGCTCACATTCTGAACAAGTTTTAACTCTAACACCCTTTACAAGGGTGCTTTAGACACAGACAGTCAATGAAACCCTACTCAAGTTGTCATCTGGGCAACTCGCAAGCATAATAAATAGTGAGACAAAAGGTAAGTGACATATTGGTGTATGTTGTTGCTTAACTATACACAATGGCTTAACTTTCTGATTTGGCTAATTTAAATTCAGAATTCACTTCGTGCTTTTTTTTTGGGGGGGGGGGAGGGGGAGAGGGGGATAGGACACTATGAATGAGTCTAACAGCGTTATTCTCTTTTGAACATGATGGGTGTTAGTTTTTGTTATTAATACTAGTATTCATTTAACACCAATTCTATTTGTTGCATATAAACATGTTTAAAACCTTCCATGATAATATTTACATTCTTTTCAGAGAGGTGCAGGTGTGAATGGAAAGAGTTGGTTTGGTTACTAGACTAGCTATACACATCATTGTGTGTCCCAGAGAAAGCAATTCCTTACATCTGACAGAAAAAAAAAAATATTGAAATTTGCAATTTTTGCATTTCTACTTCAGAAAAGTATTTACTTCAGAAAGTTTTGTCTTCTGCAGAGACTTGTGGCACCCTTGCTCTAGAGCTCAGGGAGCTCTACCCTCATTCTGGAGAGGCAGAATCCTCAGGCTTTGTTTCCAACTCATTTTCAGTATGGAGCTTTAAGCAATCTTCCCAATGTCCTGAAGTCATCTCCAGACACTGACAGAAGGTAAAGCATAGAACAAAAGTACTCCTGGCCCTTAAGACCTATTTTGTTATTATTTTGCTGTATAGATGCTACTCAGAACAAAGGAAATGTATCGACAAAGATTGAATATTCTGAGAAAAGAGCAATTACCTTAGTAAATATTGCGGTATGCCTATGGGACATTTTTTTCCTACATGACTTTAATTTTAAAAGTAATCAAGTCTCCCAGGAGTGCAGTGTCCCATGAAGCAATCTAAAGTGTCACAAGACAAGCAGGAAAGTTAACAGATCCATGTTAACAGATCCATTTTATGTTTACCATTTTCTCTATTATGCCCATACTTTATAAAATGCAACAAGGCATATAAGAGATCTGGCGGTCTGATGTCTGTCCATACTGAGACACAACGGAGGGAATTGGGAATGGAGCAGCTGCCTGATTTCTAAACTGTCTTGCTTTTATAGGCTCTTACATAAGCCTTTTTTTTCTTCTGACTCCGTATTTACCCACTCAAGGGTCTATCTCATTGTTCTATTAGTGCACTACCTGAATTCACAGCAATGAAATATGGCAATAAAGCTTATTAGATATTGTACGAGGAACAGTGCTCAGTCCCAAACACTCTTGTGAAAGAGCCCCATCCCTCTCAAACAGATATCAAAGCGAATAAAATTATATGCAGCAAAACAAAATAACTAACTTCTTCAAAATGGTGGTATCTAAATTGCATGGCGCAAATGCTATTCTTTAGAAAAACAAGATTTTTCAAATGAACTCCATATAAAACCACTGAAGGGATGTGCGAGTAGAGTGGAGGATGTGCTCCTGCCCTTGTTCCTGGCAGGACTCTGAATGGGGCAAGGCCACACAGGCTGCCGCTGTGTCTTCAGAAGCCACAGCTGATGAGATGGCACCATTAGCCTGACCCGGGTCCCACTCATTTAAAGGATTCATTTTCATTCTTTGGTCTGAATGGAGAAGATACAGGGATTTAAAAAGCATACTTCTTGCCTTGCTGTGGATGGGTTCTGTGTCTCATTTGTCCTTCGTAATTTGCAGCTCCAAGTGTTTTCAAGAGCATTAGGACTGCCTCTCGGCTGTATTGCTTCCCCTCGTGCAACTCCTGAATCTGTGACATGCCTTTGAGCAGACCTGCTTGGTTGCCACTTTATTATTTGTAATTAGGCTGACTTTATTTATAACCCATTCAAGAGATGCAGGTAGGCTTTCAGATGTTCCTGTGCACCGGACAAATGTTCCTCATGGCTAAAACCTCTCAGGGAAGAAAGCTGCTATAACTCCTGGCTGCTGGCTGGCTTAGCACTGAGCTGTCGTGAGCCACCTTAGGCACATCAGGAATAAAATGTTCCTTGGCACTCGCAGAAGCTGAATGCTAGGCACCTGGAGAACTTTAAAATTGAAATAGGTACCCACTTAGGTTTAAGAGCCTTCAGAGTTAGGCAGCAGCTGAGCAGAGGTTTTTAATATCACTGTTTGTAATTGCAGCTAAATTCTGCCTAGCTGCCTGCTTAGGTACCTAAATACCTTTTTGGGATCTAGCCCTAAGGATTTTTTTAACCTTCTTATGCATTAAATAATAAAGAGCAGGCAATTAAGAAGTCTTACTTAACTGTGTTAGCCTCTTGAAGAGAGCTACAAATCAGCCTCATTTCCTCCTCCTGAGAATCATTAGATCATTTGTTACAAGGGCAAAGGGAGCCTCTGCGGTATGCCTTCAGCATATTTCATTGTAGCAGTGTGTAGAGCTGCTCTGTGGAGTGCTCTGTTCATTTGTTTACAAACCATATGTGCTAGATCGAGCATCCCAGTTGGATGTTTAGTTTGCAAAGTGATATGTCAGTGGCTGCTTAATTAGGAGTCTGCAACCCTCCTTTCTCAGATGCTGCTGCTTATTAAATGTTCCCTGATTGGGAATAATCAGATGTCATTGGTAGAATAGTTGCCTTTGGTCCGAGTGAAAGGACTTTACCACCTCTAACTTGGAGTTATGGCAGCAGGCTTGGACCCCAGAGGTTAGGGCTAAGGACATAGGAGACAAACAGCCTTTTATTCTCCTTCCAAGGCAGGTGCTGTCAGTGAGGAGTGTTGTTGCACTCTGTGGCCTAGGAGAGGAAATGTTTCACCATCGCTGCCTGTGTATCCCACTCAGGGTGCTTCCTGGGGTTTCTCAGAAAGAAGTGCAAGAACAGGTGAGTGACTTCTCTTTGCTGCTTCTCTGTTCAGGCTGGGATGTGAGGACAATAGCAATCACAACAGTTGGTGTTCAGCACCTCTGTGGAAGGCCTGTAAAGAATAAGCTGCTTGTAGTAAATGAATGTGGCTCATTCTCTAGTGGTGTAACCTTCTCTCATTTGGAAGGTAATTGGTACTTCTCAAAATTAAAGGCTTCAAGACTGTTTCTTCAGAGATGCTCCAGGATGCTGTGCTGAAACTGTAAAGATACCTCTGAAATAAACTGTTATGTACTATTTAAGTGCTCTGGATTAATATTACTGCAAGCTTTAGGTTGGGGGTGGGGGGAAAGGCCTCACTGAAACTGATGGTGCTCATGGGAATTGTGGTACTAATAGACTCAGAGAATTAAGTTGTTTATTCGTACTGCTCTGCCTGTGTTCTTAACCCAGGCAATTTTTCTGCTTCTAATGTACCTTCCCAGAGGTAACAACTCTCACTCACTTTGGAATTAAACAGATGAATTTAGAGGAAAATATCTAATATTTTAAGGAAAGCTGGCATAAATCAAAGAAAATACAAAGTCCTGGCAAGTTGGACTGATCTCCAAAAAAAGCTGAAATACATCAGGTGTTCCCCAGTGCTCAATTCTAAGACTAGTCCAGTTCCACATTTTTTATCAACAGGAGGCTCAACATGAGCCAGCAGCATGTCCTGGCAGCCAAGAGGGTGAGCCACCTTTTGGGATGCATTAAACACAGTATAGCCAGCTAGTCAAAAGAGGTGATTCCCCTGCTATATTTAGTACCAGTGCGGCCTCACTTTGAATATTGTGTGCAGTTCTGGTCTCCACAATGTGAAAAGGATGTTAAGGTAGTGGAAAGCATCCAGAGGAGGACAACAAGGCTGGTAAAAGGGCTGGAGGACACCCTGGTTGTCTGGTCTGGAGAAGAGGAGGCCAAGAGGTGACCTCACTGCTCTCTGTAGCTTCCCGAGGAGGGGAGGCAAAGAGGGAGGTGCTGGTCTCTGCTCCCCAGTAGCCAATGACAAAACACAAGAGAATGGCACAAAGCTGGACCTGAGGAGTATCAGAATGGGCATTGGGAACAATTATTTCCCATGAGGGTGGTCAAGAATTGTAGCAGGCTTCCTAGTGAGGTTGTTGGTGCCCCGTGCCTGCCAGCGTTCAAGATGCAGTCGGATATGCCCTCAATAACATACTTTAACTCTTGGTTAGCCCTGAAGTGGTCAGGAAGTTGGGTTTGATCTTTGAAGGTCCCTGTCAACTGAACTATTCTACCATAAGTTTTATGTACTTTTAAGGCAGAAGCACAGAAAAATTTCTAGACGTTAGGTGTGTATGTATATAGGGATAAGGTAAGAAAAGCCCGTTGTGGGGAAAAGGGGTAGATGGTGGGTGGTGAAGCTTAATCAGCTCTCTTATTCCTGCCTCTGGAAATATTATCCCTATTCAGTAGATTACTTTAGCTTGGGAGGAAGCAAAAGCCATTTTACTCTTTTCCCCATCCTCTGGCTCTCTGAATCGTGGAGAATATCACGGTGAGCAGTATACTTCATCCATAGATGGCTTTTTTTCAGGCAGTTTCAGGATGATTGTTTTGCTTGCTTTAAGACACCTTTTTTCATTAGGGCAGTCATATCCTGTCAGATAGAGATGCCTATGGAATAAGGAATAGACATAGTAATAAATCTTGTTTCATACAGGAGACTAAACTAGCTGCATGGCTTAAGCCCATGCCTGGATGGCAAAAATTCTGACCATGAGCTTGAGCTGATTAAGTCCACAGCCTCTATGTATCCAACTATAGGTCACATAGCCATTGTGGAAATTAGTGATTTAATATGTTTTACATGTATAGTAAAATGTACAGAAAGTATTTTTATGCGTGAGTGCTACAGTTTGACTACTTGCTTTCCTACTAATACAAATTACTCTAAGAGTAGGGAAAAGTAATGATGCCATAGACAACAGAGAACAGCCAGTTAAGTGTTATTAATACATGCATTTTATTCACCAAGAGACTATTAATGCTCTACAAGTATTTTTCTAGCCATTTTCCTTCACCATTTGCACATGTTCTTTTGATGAGCAAAGAAAAGCTGATGAAAAGCCTATGATAATGAGATCAAGAGAAATATGAAAAGAAACTGAAAATGCTGACAGTCTTGATTATTAGAGTAATCTAGCATGGCAAATTACATTATTAATATACACTTGACAAAAAGAGTAAAAAAAAAAAAAACAAGCAATTGTTAAATTGTTATAGGCGTTTATGAAATTGTGTGTTACAGGAACAAAACTACTCTTCACTTGCATTTAATGTACATATTTAGAGTTGGGAAGTGGTGCTTGGTATTAAAAACATGGCAGCATCTCTCTTAGTAAATGCTTTCTGTCATTTAAGCCAAAGAAAGGATTTGCATTTCCATGTTTCTGCAATCAGGAGTGTTCATCAAGCGCTCCTATAGTCACTAATCGCATCCAATAAATCATGAAGAGTGGTTCTAGATGCATTGTTATAGAAACCACTAATATCAAGTGGGGGTGTGAGGAGGAAGTAAAGTGAATGCAGCTCAACTGGTAGCAGTATTGCAATTACTCTTTTTCGTGACAGAGTTATCTAACACAGCCTACCTGTGAAAGATGGATTTGCAACATCTGGTGGCAAAACTGTACAATAATGATAGAGGTCTGATGGTGAAACAGCTATGTAAAATCCCTTCTGGTCTCCTGCAGATTGTGATATCAGAATACAAGGTAGAGGTGAGGTCAGAAGCACTAGCTATGCTGGCAGGGGTGGCTGTAGAAAATCCAGGCATTATCTGGATGTGGAAAACACAGATTTTAAGATTACTTTTTTTTTTTTTTTCCTCCATACCAATAATTAATCTCAATTAAAACTGTGTTAGTCCTAGCTGGGACCTGTTCTATTAAACTTACATGTGCCTGTATCTGTGCTGACATGAGTGGAAGTGAAGGCAAGTGAGGAAGATGGGATGGTTTCTTTGGATAGTAATTTCAGTAAAGTGTCATCAAAAGCCTTAGCCCTACCTTAGGGCTTGTTGGACTGGATCAAAACCTTTGGAGATAGCTGGTGCAAATGTGCTCTGCTTCATATTCACTTTGGTGGTTCAGATTTGTTCTATATGTCCTGCTGAGCTAATGGCTTACTGTGGGCTTCATGTCAGGCCAGGCATTGCAAGCTTGCCCCCAGCTGCATAAAATTGACAAGCATTCTGTATTGTGTTCTGCCTAACTCATCAGAAATACATCTGTGCTATTCAGCAGTTACAGGTGTTGTACCAGTGACAGGAGGACTACTGTTGTATTCTGTGGGTGGCTATGCTGAAGACAACAGGAGGCATTTCAGAGCAAAGTGTCAGTGTTCATGAACAGGTCACAAGTCTCCAGCCCACAGAATAATAAAGCCCTGTTGTCCCAAGGATTTTGGACATTAGGAGCTGCTGGGCTTCATCCCCAGTTTCTCCATATTCACCACTTTTGCTGCAGCCCCAGGATTTGGCAGGGGGAGCAGGGAACAAGTCTGTGTTCAATCCACGGCCAGGTAGGCACCAAAGCACCCCTCAGGATGTCTGGGAACAACACTGAAGCTGCCCTGAACTAGGCCAGCTGCTGCTATTGCACCAGCTGGAAGGAAGACATCAGCGTGCTGCTTGCTGTTGTTGTGAGGAGGCTGAAAGAGAAAGGCATCAGCTGGCATCTGAAAGTTTCAAGCCACTTTATCCACTTTCTCCTTCTCTTTTACAGTTACTGCCCAGCTTCCTTGCACTTCCCTCACAGATGCAACAGGGCCCCCAAATTCAACTGCTGAGATGGAAACATGTTTAATAATGCCTTATGAAAAAGACATGGTGAAAAATTCCAATGTAGATGGGGGATTTTAGTGACAGATTGTGCCCTGGGATTCTAGTGCATATCTTCCATTAAAGCCGTTGAAAATGTTCGCATTTCAAGGAAGAATTTGGGCTGTTGACACAATTCCCTGTCTTTCTTTGGGAGCCAGACATTTTCTGTGGTAACATAAAATATTATAAGAAAAATAAATATAATGCATTTAGGCATTAAAATGAATAACAGTCCTTGATCTATTGCTGAAGATTACAGACATGAGATGTGAAAGCTGTTCTTAAAGTAAGATAGACTTTTGCTCTAATTGGCACTGCAGCTGTCCTTTTATTACAAAATATGAAGGAGATGACTAGAGAGGTGTCCAGATCCTTGCATCACACAGAGAGATTGCTATGTATCTGATGATCATAAATTTGGCCAGTAGCTTGCTGTATTTTGTTGTCCTTTGAATCAAGTGATCCTAAATCTCAGGGTAGCATACTTACTGCACATGAGCCGCTGCCTCCAATTCCAGAGAGGACAAAACCTCAGTGGTGAGTGTATAATTGCTATATTTTTAAGGGAAACATTAAGCCTCTTGTACTCCTAAGGTGCTGTATGAATGAAAATGGCATTGAATGAACAGAATACTACTAGCCCCACCCCAAAAAACAAACAAACAAACAAACAAAAACCCTTCAGTATTTTTTTTTTTTATTTTTCATTGGAGAACTATAAAAATTTTGTCCTGGGAAAATGAAATAATTCTTATACTTCTGTTCTCCCTCCCAAGATGCTTGGGGCAGTCTCAGCATATTTTCATTCTGCCTTTTCAGGAATGAAATGGAGTGTCTGCCTGCTCCAACCTCATGCATCTCCCCTGGGGACCAGGGAGAGCCTGAGCTCAGCCGAGTACTTGTAGAGCACTCTGGTGCCTATTGCACTTCTGGGACTTGCACTGTGTCAGCTGGAAGTGTAGGTCATGGTGATGATGGTACTGCAGCTTTACAGGAACATGCCTAGGAGCCCTTGAATCCTTGGGTCAAAGTAAACTCCCCAGTGGGGCTACCCGTCATCATGTAAATTGGTGTGAAACCAGAAATGTGTGTGGCAAGCTTCATGAGAAACCTAATTTGCTTTAGACGATGTTTGTCAAAATCGAATTGTCTGTGCAAAACTGCTGCTCCATCAAAATATTTTTTTTTCTCCATCTTACCAGAGAATTTCTAGCTTGTTGTGATGAACATAATTTTCACCCTTTCGATTCCTTTACATACAAGACATAGACAGCACCTGGTGTTTATTTCCTTGGGATATAGTGTGTATCTTCAGAGCTGGGCTCTTCATTTAGGAAAAACAAAACACTCTGCATTTTTGACTGTTGAGTGGACAGTAACAGCAAAGCCAAGGGGCTTTGCCTGTAACTGCTAGCCACAGCTAGCTAGGGTGTGGTTTAAGATGATTTAAATACTTATAGGATGCCAGCAGAGGGTGAAACGAGGAAAGGGGGGAAATGAAGGAGAACTTGTTTGTCTTAATCTCCATAGAATGGTTTAATGTACAGATTTATCCCCTTTAAAACAAACAAACAACAACAAAAAAAAGAGAAAATATGGTGAAAAGGGAGGGGCAGGACCTTTACTTTCTGTTGCTGCTGTTCAAAAGGTTTGAAATGCTTGCAAGGTTTTTACAGCATTTATTCAGACCTCTAAATTTTCTGATAGGTGGAAGTGGTGAGCACCCGCAACTCCAACAGGAAAAGGTCAACTCAGAACACCCAAACACATGATTTCCCGATGAGGGTGTGCAAACTGCTGCTGCTTCTATGTCTTTGCACTGTTCCTCTCTGTCAGAATTATAGCACAGCTGGCAAACCATGCTTCCTTTTCATTACAACCCAAAGAGCTGATGTACCTAGCCATATCTGGCTGTGGTGCTTATCTGGTTTTCCATCAGGATTTTCTGGTCTCTATTTCCTAGGGTTGCCCTTGGCATTGCTGAATTTCAGTTGGCCTAAGAAGTAACATGGTCTGGTGGATTTAAGAAACTAGAATGCACACCAAAGGCAAATGAACTTTAAGTACAGCTAATTGGTTACATTTCTTGTTAAAGAAATAGATTAGAGCAGGAAGCTAGTGTGTTGCTCTTCTGTAAAGATGACCAGTCATAACTTGGTCTGTTCCCCTCCTCTCCTTTTGTCAGTGTGATGCATCAGCAAGCTGTGCTCTTCACTCCCAAACAGAGAAAGGGGACACCAATAAATTAGAATGCCTTTAAAATAGATACGTGTGTGTGTGTGTGTATATATATATGTGTGTGTGTGTGTACGTGTGTGTGTGTGTATATATATAAAAAAATCTTACCAAATCTTACACTTCACCTGGGCTGTTATTTCATGAAATTATTTTATTATCACACTGATTGTCATTGCAATTTTATGGTTTGCTATAATCTTTGGGCACCTCGTGTTTGCAGTTATTGTTGTGAAATGATATGGAGGCAGAAAGCAGTGGGTTTTGTTTGTTTGTTTGTTTTTAACGTTCTTATTCCTTGTGAAATCTGCAAATTCAAAACTGCCTCTGAAAAAGGACCCTCTGTATACCCCGGAGCACTGTAACACTGCTAAAAACAGAAACTGGATGCTTTCTCATGGGGTGGAGGGGAAAGAGTTGAGAAAGGTGGCAGTTTTACCCCAACTGTCTCATGATGTTTGAATGCTGGGAGGCAGAAAGTAACATAATAAATATCTGAAAATGCAGCCACTTACCACACTTTCATATAAATTCCAGATTACGGGCCAGATTCACTGTTGACATAAGCAGATGCAAATCTAATGAAGTCACTGCAGTTGCTTCTGCTTATGCCAGAGGTGAATTTGTCCCTATTTTTGGAACACATTAGTTTTTGTGCTACAGCACTGACACACTGTGTCGTGTCAAAATCATTTTCGACCATGGCTTAGTGCCACTAGCTGACTGACACGATGTATCATGTCAAACATCTGCCTAGTAATGGTCCCGTTCTGCTTCTCGACATGATGTATCGTGCCACTGTGTCGTGCCTGAAGGCATCCGATAGGAATTGCAGCAGGATCTGAAATAATGAGGAATGCGTACTAATTGAATATCTGAGCATTTTTGGCATCCTGTGGGAAACAGCGCTCTGTATGTCAGACTATCTGTAAGCTTCTTGCAAACTCCTCGTGTACTTGGGTGTAAAGCGATCACTAATGTACTCCCACCTCAACACATTGTGTTGGCACAGTAAATGACAAATACATTTCTATTTTGGCCTGGTTCTGCTTTAAGGACCAGCACTGGATTTTCTCCACAAAGCAATCAATCAGTATGAAAAGAGCTTGCTCCTGCTCGTGATTTTACAACCTTCTGTTACTGTGCATTAAGTGTAGAAGCATGTTGTTTTGTTTCACTTCTTATTTTTTGATAAAGTAGCATCTGGCCTTCTAACCACTGTGCCTGAAAGGGTTTTCCCTCAGCCAGGGATGGATCTAAGTGACATCTCCCCTCGACCGGGAAGACCATTCCCTGCCCTGAGCAGCTCTGCTTGGCAGGATTATGCCCAGCACTCGAGCATGGGAGCCAGGGGATGGAGTGGCCACAGGAGCACCTGAGCGTGGGCGCCTCTGGGAGCTGTTCCCGGCACCAGCCTCCAGCACCTGCCTGCTTTGTTGTCAGGGTCACCTTGTGGCAAAAGGAAACGAGGGGAAAGGATTTCTGAAAGTAACAGTGCCTGTGCTGACTGGAGATCGGTGGATAGCAATCGTCTCTGGAATTTTCTGTTTCCCCAAAGAAGCCATTCAGAAGCCCATACATGCAGCACAGCAAAGTCCGTGTTGTATGCGTGCTAGCCACGCATTGACACTTCTGACTGGCTGCAAAGTTTGATGTAGAGATTGACTCCATTTAGGCAGATATACAAAATGCAACAACTATCAGGAACAAATTACCAGGGCTTTATTAAAGGGGTATATAGCTACCTTAAGAGCTGTATACCCAAAAATAAAATAAATGTACCTGCAGGAAATTGAATCTTTTTTTTTTTTTTTCAAAGTATTGCAGTTGAATGCTTCAGAGAAATGCTTTCTATAAACAGGGAATCCTACTGGGGTCAGACAGAGCTATTTTAACCTCGTGTATTCATCTCACTGTTCTGGCAGAGGAGATGCATGTGTGTTTGTGTGTGTATATATACAGAGAGAGAGAAGGTATAAATTTAGTATATTTGATTGAAGGCTCCAATTTCGGAAACTATTAAGTATAGGCACACTTCAAAGGAATTTTTTTAAAAATAAATTTGAAATAATTCATTTTAGGCCAAAGAAGAAGAAAACAAGAGCAAGCAAGTGTGGTCGTGTCTAGGCTTATAAGCTGGGATAATGCTACCGAGCTGTATGCTGACTCGTTTCCATGTGAGGAATGGTATCAAAAGCCTTCAAGTATGGGACTGCAGTGGGGCGGCTCACAGGCAAGAATGTGTGCAGAGGTAGGCCACGAATGTATCTGAGTAGGATTAGAGCCATTACAGCCAGATCCTGGTTTGCTACACATTTTTTAAGTCGAGAAGTGCAGTTATGTGATTTTTCTTTTATTTATTTATTTATTTATTTTTAAGATTGTGAACCAAAAGTGGGGAGTGAGGAGAGACCTTTTGGGCAGTCAAGTGATGTGTGCAGCCTTCCAGCTAATGGGGCAAGTGGGTTCTTCCTGGACAAACTTCCAGGCAGTGCTGCAAATCCTTTGGGAAGAGGTGTGTGGCCCATGCGTGTGACTTGACTGGGGGACGGTCCCCTCTTCTCCAGCTTGGCCATGCTTCTCGTGCGCCTGTGGATCATGGGAGAGAAACTGGGCAGTGAGATGCTCCTCATCCCCATTGAGCAATGAGAAGGGAAAGGGACCTGCACCCCGCCCGCGGCCCCCCCCCCCCCCCAAAAAAAAAAAAGTAAAAAAAAAAAAAGTTTGTAATTATTAATAATAAAGTAGTAATGAGCATCTACTCATCAGTTATTAATTACCACGCAGCGCCGGGTTTAGGGGGGGGGGCCTTATAAAGGATGCGCAGGTGCTTCCGCGCCCGCGGAGCTGTATCGGGGGCGGAGGGGGGGAGGTGAAGAAGGGGGGCCGGGGGCGCGGCCTCCTTCCTCCTTCCCCCGCCCTCCGCGGCCGCTCCGCGGAGCCGCCGCGCTATAAGTGCGGGCGCGGAGCGCGGCGGGCGCCGAAGATGCGCTGGCAGCCGGCGCTGCGCGGCGCCCCGCCGCGGCCGCCCTGCGCGGAGGAGGAAGAGGAGGAGGAGGAGGAGGAGGGGGAAGAAGGCGGTGGCGGCGGCGCGGGGCGGCCGCGGCCGCGGCCATGAGCTGCTCGGACGTGGCCATGCAGCAGCCCGCCCCCCCGGCGGCGTGCGGGGCGCCCCGCTATCTGCCCGGAGCCGCAGCGGGCTGTCCGCAGGTGAGCGGTGGGGTTGGGTGATGGAGGGGAGAGAGGGGGGGCTTTGCGGAGGGACCCCCCCTCGGCGGGCTGCACGGCGCATCGCTGGCTGGCCGGGGCGGAGACCTCCGTCCCGGCCAGCCAGCGATGCGCCGTGCAGCCCCCGGGTTGATTCGGAGATGCGGGGAGTTGGTGAGGGTGTCCCAGAGCAACGGAGTCTGGTAAGACTTTAAAAAAAATAAAATAAATAAAAATAAAATAAAATTCTTATATTTGACTTGCTCTGCTGGAGTGAGGCGAGACGGGGGAAAAAGTTGCTTCTTGCCGCCTTCTCCCCCCTCATCCTCCCCGCTCGCCCGTGCGGTGCGGTGCGGTGCGCAGGAGCGCACACGGGAGGGGACCCGCGCTGCTCCCTGTGCTGCTCCCCGCGGAGCGGGCGCGCCTCGCCGTGCTGAGCCGCACAGCCCGGCTCTCCTGGAAGAGCGGCTCCGGCGAGTTTCCAACTGAATTTGGTGATCAGATGTATTTGGAAGAGAGGGAAAAAAAAAAAAAAAGTGAATCAGGAAATTCTTATCAGGCTGACAGCATTTTTAGACTATGCAGTGCGTGGGTGAAGTGGGACTAATATTGACTTGGCCCTAATGTAGTCATCTGAGAATACATTTTTTGGTTGTTGCTGCATTCCATAAGGTTTTATCATTATTATCCACGAAGATTGTTTTCTCTGTACATGGGAAGTGACCCCTAATATCAACTTGCCTTGGAGACACGAATATGGGCTAAAACATTAAAATTCCTATCACTTGTTATTGTTTTTTTCTTTATTGTTGGGAAAAGAGCTTTTGCAGAAATGATACCGAAGCTGACTTTTCCAGGTCACTCATGTTGTTCACTGTAAACATGGGCTCTGGAAAACTCGTGAGTTTAGTCTGTTGCAGCGTGCCTGCATTGTTATTTCTTCTCCGATCTAGGTCACGGCTCGCAGAACCCTCACCTTATTCAGTGGTTGTTAGTCATGAACTTTGTATTTTAGTATTCAGAGCTCCACTTACTAGCCTGTCTGAGTTGGAGGGAAAATAAATAAATAATCTCAAACAACTTGACTAAGAGACCCAGAAGTAGAACACTTAGATTGAAACTTAGGAGGACTTTTTAGCACTTAACTTTGTAGGCAGTTGGCTGTATTTCTTTTCCAGCACTGGAGTGTGGAGCACCTAGTACGTGAAAATCTATCCAGTGATCACTAACGGCTGTGTTACACTCCCATGCAGTTGCTTTTTGTTTTTAAAGAGACTCAAGAAGTTTCTCCATCAGCTGTAAGCAGCACCACATCTGAAATGTCCCAGAGGCACCCTAATGAAAGCCAAAGTTTCTTAAAATTTCATTTTAAATAAACTGAGTTCCTGTGGCTTATGCTATTTATGAAATGTGGAGGTAGATATTCAAGGCAAGAAACATAGCTCTGGTGAGCCAATACAGCATATGAGTCGTGGCCAGTACAATATATCCTGTTACCACCAAAAAAGCATTCTCAACCTTGCTATCCTACACGTTATTGACAGTTTGTTTTAGTTAATCCTGCTTGCGCCAGTTTTCCTGAAGTGTTTGGAGCTGAAGGGTCTTCACAAACTAGTCAAGTGTCAGGCTGCAAAACCGAGCTGTTCGTGGTGAACTAAGTGTTGTGCCCGCTGCCTCTAGCAGCTGCGGGCGTCAGAGGGGTTTAGGTATTCTCTTTTAATCCAACACTTTTTATTAAAAAAAAAAAAAAAAGGAAAAAAAAAAAAAAGAAATAAACACAGGATGAACTCCTGATGTATCTCTAGTTGGAGTGGAATGATTTAGCACTCGGGTAACACATGACATTTTGCAAGTCTCTGTTTCTTCAAAATCATCCTGTCAAGAACATTTAATCAAGTGGTAAAGAGCCTAAGAAAGAAGGAAGAAGAGTCTGTTGCCAGGTTTTTGTTTCTTCTTACACATGTGTTCAACATGTAAAATGCTCCTGCGCTCTTCATAAGGATGATGACCATTTTAAAGAATGTTCTCCTTTGCCGGAATTAAAACTGTGGTTTAAAAATAACAGTGAGGGAAGATGTGTTAGTGGGGCATCTTTAAAATAAAGCTCTGAATTGGAGCTGACAAAGTAGAGCTCACCCTTAAAATATCCAAGGACTCCGTTGAGGTGTTTTACTGTGTCATCGTACAACACTGTTGTCTTCTAGTACCCAGTAAAATGGTTTGTCTCCTGAAAGAGAGAGCACCTCAGCCTTTCCTTTTAATTTCAGGGAGCTTGAGGTGAATTATTCTAACTAAAGCTTGTGCATCCTTGCAGGTACTTGTAATAAACCTGTCAGAGACGTAATTGGTTATGCCAGATTTTGGTATCGGTTTTGTATCTCTTGAAGAGCAAAGCAAGCTCTTCAGCGGTGGAACTACCGTTGCAGCTATTTAGGTTAAAGTTCTACACTACAGCACTTCTCTGGAGAGGTCGTCATCTCACCTTTCTGTAGGTTGCATGCTGCATACGCAGGTCAGGAGAAGTGTCTCTGACAAGCAGCTGGTACTGTGTCACTGCTCTGCACTCAGTGGGGTCTGAACGATGGTCTCCTTTTTACACAGCAGGTCTTGGATTGCTTTAAAGGATGGATTAGCATGCAGCCGGAGTGTGCAGAATTGAGCTTTTTTGTTTGTTTTCTCCTTAGAGGGTGCTCCACTGTGTCTTCTTAAAGTTACCCCACTCTAAAGTTATTCCCACATTTCTGTACATGTAGTTGTTGCTCCACTAAATAAGCACAAAGATGATTTTTCCTTGCGCAGCGATGCAGAGTTTTTGGAACCTCAGCTTTAAACAATTCACAGCCAAGAAAGGACTTGCTGGCAAATTAATTTAGATTTTTTTTTTTTTTTTTAAGTGCTTAATGGATTGAAGCCTGAATTCCTATTGAATGTTAATGGGAGTGGAGGCTTAGCACCTTAGATCTTTGAGATTGCTGAAGTCCAGGGACATTGCTGGCAGGAAGTAAGAGAAGTATGGATATATAGATGCTTACGTGATGCCAGAAGGAACTAATGAAAAGTGGATGCAGCCCTCTTTCTATAGATAAATTGGGGTTTCCACGTTCCTTTGCCAAAATACAGAACGAATGTGTGATGGTGTTACAATAAGTACACATTCTTGTGCATGGTAAGGAGCTGTGCTGGCCCGAGTGTAAAGCTCTCTGGAATGGTGCAATAAAAACTCTCTTCACCGTACACTTTTCTAAGGAGCTCTGAAGCTGCTGTAGTAAGTTTTGGATTTCTTATGTATTGGGTGAGGAATGGGTGTAACAGAGCTGCTCATTCGAAGAGACTGGAAACATAATCGGTGAAGAATCCTGTTTTATTCTTGGCATACAAGACATGCAGTGACAGCTTGCCATACCCTGTCGTCTAGGGACAGCAAGCTGCAGGGCTGAGGCTAAGGTAGGATTCACCCTGGCTCACTAACAGCTGAGTTTAAGACCTTTTAAATGGGAAGTTACAGTAAATGGTAGTTTTGGAACATCTCCATGGTATGTAGATGTAGAGAGCTAAGCCAAACACCATCCTTGCTAAATCAGTCTTGCATAAAGAGTTGTGATATGCTCAAGTTAGACTTTCTGCTGGCAGGACTGTAGACAGACTTTTTCCAGATAAGGGCTTGTCTCCATTAGCAAATTAGGTCACTAACTCAACTCTTCCTTCCAGACGAACAGCGTTGCAGACAAGGACAAGCCGTGTGTACCGTTGTGTCAGCTGGCCGTAGCTAAACCCTCATTCACAGGCTGTAACTCAGTTTTCCAGTAAAGTTATTTGTATTGCCTGTTTGCACCCTTGAGTATGGGCGTATATTACTGATGCTGGATGTGCGTGACAGTCCGTGGAACCTGACACACCAGATAGTAGCAGAAGGTAGCTTCACATTTAATTTTTGTAGTTTGGATGGTTCCTCAAGTTTTTTTTCTGAAGTCTGATAGGTCCCCTGCTGCTGACTTCACAAGACACTAAACAGCTTCAAAGGCTACTTTCAAAATTATGGGATGTAAAACCTGGATTAAGTCTTGCTCTGTATATGGGCGTATTTGATTTTGTTTGTCTGTTTTTTAACCCCATGAAACCCTGCTGATTTCAAAAATATGGCTTGCTTTACCTTCTTGTTCTGATGGGACCAAACAATTTGACCTTCCTTTATACACATGAAAACAGAGCTTTAATGGCACAGCCTTGTTCAGATGTACTGCAGAAGATGTATAAATCTAGTCTTCCACTACTTGTCTCCATCAACTGAACACTGCAGGGCCACCAGGCTCTACTGCTGCAAACCCAATGGATCACCTGAAAGAAAGTGTGGCTTTGCTATCGGCTTGCTCTTTGCGAGGGGAAAAGTTACCATTTCCTATTTTCAAGGCATGCAGTAAATGCTGCTTTCAGGCCCAGCATTCCATGCCATGATTGCTTGAAATTGTCTTCTTCCTTGAATACTTTCAGTGTTATCAATAGGAGCCTGCTTGGCAGGCAGCTCCACAAATGCAGGACTGTCCGTGATTTGCCTAGGGTTTGTTACTGAAATTCCTTCTCAGAAGCTTATGTCGAATGACAGCTTTTTTCTCAGGATAGGGTCATATAGTGTTTCCTCAGTGTAGTTATTCTTTATTTTTGGTTCCTGTTCTTTCTCTCATAATGGAAAATCTGTAACAGGTGGCCACAGGCACACCAGACTTTCATGCTTGGGAGCATACAGGACCATATGCTGCATGATGGCATGTACGGAGATAATAAGTTGTAGGATCAGACAACCAGCTTATATGTAAAATAAGAGCCGGTTTGAATTTTCAATTCAAACTCGGCTACACTAAAATTTTTCCAGACTCAGCTGTGTTTGGTAGTTTCTATGTTTTGCTGCCTAGTGGCTACTTTCAGCTGGAAGTGAATTTTTTTTCGGTTTGTGAAAAGGAATGCTGTGACATTTTTACCAGACACCCCGGCTGAGATCTGGGACCCTTGAAGTCAATTGGACTTTTGCCATTGGCTTTCATGTGGCCAGTTTCACTGCATGAGAACAGTTTTCCTTGGTTCTGGGTAGGGTATGTTGGAAAATAACGGGAATCATCGAGACAGGGGTTTTGTGTGAGATTTTGGACCACATGCTTTCTTGATATTAAAGACCCAAGTGGTCTGTTTTCCTCCAAAAGAGTGGAGGATGCTTATTCAGCGTGAACCCTCTCTTTAATATTTCTGTATTCCCGATCTATGTTTGACCTTTAGCTTTTTTTTTTTTTTTTTTTTTTTAAGGGATACTTGTAGTAAGAGTTGAAATTTTCTTTGAAAGAACCTCTTTGTAAATATATGAAACAACAAAATTAGTGTCGGTTTAAGCTGAATGCAGCCCACGCTGTACAGCATTATTTACCCAGAGGTCCTACCATTCCTGCTTGTGCCATAGGCTTGTGTCTGTTATTGAAGATGGGATCAGATGATATAGGCACTGGATTTCCCATTTCTTTATCTATTTTCCAAAATACTAAGATGACTTAGATTCTGTATTCTGAGCTTTGGCCAAAATGAGATTTTCTGTGCTTGTTTTGTTTTTTATTTTCAGATGCTGCTTAATCTCAGTCTCTAGGTTTTAGTGAAGAGAGAGGTATAATTCATGAATATATGAAAGCATTATAGAACTGAAAAAAGGCAAGACATATGCAGAGTTTGTTCGGCATTTACACTTTATAAAGACGTTACAGATACTGTTGACTGCTTAAATATATGCCACAACTATTTGCATGAAAGAAGTACAAGGGAAAGTGGGCTAGCCCAGACTAGTTATCAGAAACCTAACCTGATGTTTGTTTGTTTGTTTGTTTTTCCCCCCTTTGGTATTATTTTTCTTCTCTCATAAGAGTGGGACAAATTCACTTAGCAGTTGATGGAAAAAGTTAGTACTTTTCCACTCTCACAAGTGCAGATAGAAATGCTGTGAAAAGATTGCTGTTAAGGTCAGAATGGGTGATGCAGAATTTGCATGTAGGCAGAGGTATCAGAAGAGAGTTAGGGAGAGAAAAAAACACTTTAATTTTTACTTTAATTTTTATTATAGGATATATAATATGTAAAGGATGTATGTAAGCTGCATGCAAGGAAAATTCACTTTATCTCACTGTAACTTCATATTTAAAGGGCCCTGTAATCACAGGCAAGAAATTGGCTGATAATTTCAGCCTGAAATACAAACTAAGTAGATCTGTATCTGATTGCAGGCTTGATGTGGTTTTGAAATATCTTTTAATTTAGAATTCTCATTCTTTGCAAAAAGTTCACCACAAAATATAATTTTTCACTATAAATAACTTTACACAAGCTGTTGTACCTGCCATCTTTTTTGATATTAAAAAAAAAAAAAAATCAGATTCATTGTTTTCAAAAACAGAGCAAGTACTCGGAATGTCTTGTAATGACTACCCATGGACTGGAGGGGAGGAAAGAGAGTTGAAATGGAAAATGAATTAGATTCTTAAGCTGTAGAAGGGGGAACATTCCTGCACAGAGAAGCGACTCTGGAGATAAGTTTTAATTTCCTGAGCTCTAGTCTCTATATAGGAACATTGAAAGACTTCCTTCCTGATAACCAAGTCAAGCCAGGGGCTATATTAAATGATGTGTTTCTGTATATAATTGCATGCTTGTGTATGTATTTGTATACTTGCAGCATAAATACAAATAGTGTACCTGTAATCACAGAAATCAACTTTTAAAGTGTGTTGTATATATTCAGGGTCTAGCATATATACAGTATCTGAGATGTTGTAATATATCAATATCTATTTAGACACCTGTAAAGTACCTCTTTTATACTTTCTATATACTTAAATAAATGCATAATGTAATTAAAAAGTGGTTCCCAACCTCTTGTCTTGCTTTTTTTTTTTTTTTTTTTTTTTTTTTAGGAGGATCTGGATTGTGGTGCATTTTTGAACATCATTAAGTCATTTAAGTAGATATGTTATATATTTTTCATATGCACATCTACTATATATGTGATATTGTTAAAACTATTTCTGTCCTATTGACATCTCATCCTTCAGAGATTATTTAGACAAAACCATGAAGCTCATTGAGAGTTATATCTTAATTTTTCAGGAACAAATGTTAAAGAGATTTTTAGTTTGTTTAGAGAAAGCACAAAGCATTTACAGAAAACTATGGGTCACCTCATATTCAACACTTGCAAAAGTTACTTTGATAGCTTTAGACTACCTTTCATTTTAGCACTTAGGTTCTAGAAAAACTATTTATTGTATTAACTTGCTGTGTGGTTTTTTGTTGTTTTTTTTTTTTTTTTAACATCTTATGAATAAAGCTGTATGTCTAAATAAGTGACACTGTACTAAGCAGAGCCACGTGCTTTGTGAAGCACAGACTTACTTGAATTTAACTTTGAATTGTTTAGATCTCCCAAACTGCAAAATAAAATTCCTTGCATCCCTTGTTACAGCTTGTGCAACAGTGTCAGAATTAAAGGTATTACTGAGCCGGTGTATGTTCTTCAGTTAAGTTACCAGAATGTCTGATGCATCACTTAATTGCTCTGAGCTTGTAGTATTGTAGGTTTTAATTTCATTTGTAAGTATCTCTTTCTTAAAATTAATTTTTTTTAGTAATCACTCATAATTAAGAATTAGTTCTGGAGTTTCTATTTTGTGTTACAATATGACAATTTGTATCTGCTTATGGGATTTTAGAAAGCATAGAATGTAAGTACATTTTTGGTGTACAAGATTGGAGAACGACTTCCAATTATTTCTAAATCTGACAAGCGTATTTATTGTATAACTGGAACTTTATAGACTGTGTAGTTGTTTAACTTGCTTTATAGAACAACTTTGGAAAAAGAGAAAAAAGCCGTAAACTTAAAGAGATTCTGATGGTGCTAAAGTGTTGCCAAGCAAACCATAAAAGACAAGTCAAGCTGTAATTCTATAGAAAAGCTATGAAATACTTCTGCATATGTGCTGTAGTTGTTTTTGGGTTCCTAAAGCTGCTTGTGTGTAAAGTCAGCTGTGGAAATGGCTAGCTAGCTAAAAGCTATGATTCCTGCAGCTTGACTGTTGTGGGGAGCTTTTTTCTGTGAAAACAGTTGTAAAGTGGAACATCTGAAAAATATGTTCCATGCAAAATGGATCTTCACACACATTTATTTTGACATTTAGGTTTGATTTGAGAGAGAGAGAAGATTCTGAAATAGCTGTTCACAGATGGCTTTGCTGGCTTTATTTTTTTAATGCTTCTCTGTTTTTTTTTTTTTTTTTTTTTTTTTTGCATGTGTTTGCAGACTTGTCAATTCCCCTCTTCCCCCAGATCACATGCTTAATTTCTGAAGACTTGAATTTTTATTCTTTACTCCAGAAGCTGGCATTTAATAACAAATAATAAAACAAAACAACAACAAAATAAAACCTACCCCCAAAAGAACCCTTTCACCATCTGAATGTATAGATCTTCGTGATAAAAACAAACACAAAACACCTTTCCTTGCCCTAAATGAGAATTTATGCATTTTGTGGACTTTGGGAATGTGGTGGAAGACTTTTCAGGAATCAAGTTCTCTAACTGTTCCTGTCCTCTCGCCCAGGAGAGCAAAGCTGGGTGGATGTTCAGCCATAAGGGTGAAATACAGAAGTTTTGTAAGTGGCCACCCTTCTGCAGGGCTGTACAAGCTGAGGCTGCAGCCCTCACTGATGGGAATATCCTTTCCAGGTGGGAGTCAGCAGTAAATTGTCAGTCTACCTGTGCTCTTTTTGAAGGTATTGGGTGCAAACCATTGCTGTTAAACTACCTGCGGATGTGAAATGTGTTTGAGGAGCAGGTCCATCTGTGTGGGGGGAAACAAAACTCTAAGCAGCACTGGTAATCTCTTTTCTGTAAAATGTCGGTGCAAAATACCTCTGTCTTCCAAGTGCAATGAACTGAAATGAATATTCAATGCATTCAGTTATTTTTCTTTAAGGAAACCAGATGTTGAGCTTGCACTGAATGCTTTTAGTGATACATCTCTTGTTTGTTTTGTTTTTAATCCCAGAAGAAATTAGCTGTATACAACAAGATGCAGGAGTCTCTGGAAGTGACCCTTTCCAGCAAGCAAGAGGAGGATGAGAAAGACCAGCCTGCTGAGATGGAGTACCTTAACTCTCGCTGCGTCCTTTTCACTTACTTCCAGGGAGACATTGGTTCAGTAGTGGATGAACATTTCTCAAGAGCTTTGAGCCAAGCCAGTAGCTTCAACCCAGAAACTGCCCTCACCAAGAGCAAGGCAGGGCTAAGTCCATTGTGGAGAGGTAAGAAGGGAGGTAACCTGCTGTCTGTGGTGTAGCTTACTTGTCTATGTCATTGTAACAAATATTGCATTGCAGCTGAAATTTTGCTCCATTGTGAAGGTGGAAAAATCACCCCAAATATGAAAGAAATGAGGAGCAGCTTGGGGTTGAGTGGTCTGGTGTACTAACGGGGAAAAAAGGTGCCAAAGGCGTGGAAGAAACAGTCGTCTCCCACTCTTCCCATAGCTGCAGCTCCGCCAAGGCCTGGAAGGAGCAGGGCAGAGCTCATGTGGCTTCAAAAAAGTCTGCTGCAAGATTTGAGGCTTATTTTTAAGCTCTAAGTGTGAAACTTGGCCTGTAAGGCAAGAGCAAAGCTGTTTGGGATGCTGGTCTTGGAAGTGAGAAGACCCACGCGGCCTTCTTGGGTGACTTTGCCAGGTGATTAAGATTTGTCTACGGCTGCTTTCCAGGTAGGGAGGAGCCAACACAAGCTGGAATGGGCCCTGGCCCTGGCCCATGTGGCCGGAGCCTGCCTATCAGGAGAGCTCACAGGAGAGACACAGACATCGTTACTGACTTCCTGCATGTAAAATGGGGGTGGCTGTGCTCTGAAGCAGGAAGTAGAAACTTCAGTGATCAACGCTGTAAAGTGTTTACACAGCAGCATACACTCTTGCCTCATAATGGGCGTAAGGATTATCAATGTAATGAAGGGCAGATCTTGCCAGATGAACTAGGTAGATTTTGTGGGTCAGATTTTTAAACTGGTGGCTGTAGAAAGCCTGCCTGTAAGACATTATTTCTGTTTTGTCGAATGTGAGAGTCTATGTAGTTTTTTCAGATTCACAAATGCACTGCTTCTGATCTTTTCTTTACGTGGACTGTCAAAGGGACAGTGAACTAAGAACAGTGATTAATGATCTTGCATCAGGTTTAGTGGGAGAGATACTATGAGGATCCTTGTAGGACTGGTGGTATTCATAATCAGTGATGCTACGGTGAGAGTATATTAATGAAAGTCACAGATAATAAAAAGAGGATTTTTGGAAACCACTGTGAAGAGAAAAATAGCACAGAAGGTCTTGCTTTCCAGAAGGATGATGACAAATCTGAGGAAGTTTAAGCAAAGGTCAGCACAAGTGGCTAGGGAGCTAGAGGAATTTATGGCTTGAGCTGGGACCATTAATGTTAATGGGAAATTTTCCATTGACTTGACTGAGAGCAGGATTGAATCTATGCTTACAAAAAAAGAAGACTGGAACATTTATAAATGGCCCAGACATGCTGCAAATGTTTTAGAGATGGGATCAAGGCAGTCACTAGAGACACGTGCCTACAGCAGACCCTCTTCACTGAGCTTGAGACATATCATGAAGTAAAGGTTGTGTCCTTCTCTTTGGCCTCAGAAATTCCCAGCTCTTTTGCCCTGACTCCCCCCAGTTGCACAACTCTCTGCAGAGTGATATGTAGTAGACAGGCCAGGGTGACCTGGCACGCGGGCTCTTCAGACAGGCTGCTTCCTGACCCGGGGTGCCCCATGCCATCGGTGGGACATGGAGGTCTGCGTGTTCTGAAAGTGTTCCAGGAATAAAGTAAGGGGATATGCCCTCTGCTGTTGCTGCACCTGCTGGAGCAGTATGAAGATACTCAGGAAGGCTACTGGGCAGAGCTGCTTGCTTCTGCATAGGAGACTACAAAAGATGACCATGTTTGTTTCTCCAAAGAAGAGAACCTGACAAGAGCTTTATTGTACCTAAACAAGTTTCTGAAATACGACTGCTTGAAAAGATGCTAATGCCTTAGTCTTTTGGTTTATATACTTCTGTTGAAAATGCTCAGTTGCAGCAAATGTTAATGAATTTGTATCCCGTTGCCTAAAGTAAAATATAATTAGCTTGAATATCTTTTAAGAATAAATTTCATGGAAAGTTAGATATATTTAAAAAAATAAAAAATAAAATGACAATAAATTATTAAAAGATCAATTAGAAAAAAAAATCTTGCATTTGCAAATAGCTGTTTTAGAAAGTATAGATTTAAGTGAAAAATTCTGCGGGAATGTACTGGCTATTTAGCTCATTGCATTATTTCTTTACCTGATAGGACAAGGTTTTATGTTTTTTTTTGTTTGTTTGTTTGTTTTTGTTTTGTTTTGTTTTCATCTAAGTTGCATTTTTTTTAGTGTTGTGATGGAAAAACAAATTGCAATTTCATCATTACATTAATATTGTTTTTTTGTTTGTGTGTTTGTTTCAAGGAGGGATTTTGCTTGTGTACAGAAAATAAAACTTATCATCTGCTGTATATTGAAAATACAGATCAGTCTGGTCAGTTTAGGTTGAAATGAACTTAAAAACTGTCTTTTTATATAATATAGATTCCTACAACAAATTTGAGTAACAGGGATGCTAAATACTTGAAATCTTTTGCAGGGCCTACACTTGAAACTAATGTTACCTTTACGGAGTTTTTATCAACATGTTTTTTCCCAACTGAAAGGGATTTTTTTTTCTCTCCTGCCTTAACTGTAAAGTAATGTTGTGCTACAGAGAATTCCATACATTGTCTTCTTTATAGCATGTGGGCTTTGGCAGGTTTTCAGTGCATGTTGGCCAACCACCATTAACATTTGCATTAGTCACCACTTTGTGGTATCTGAGATGTTGCCATCTCCCTGCCTCACTGTACTTAAAGTAGGAAATTGTGGTAACCGAGTATCTTTCTTGGCAGACAATTTTAGTTAAATACCCCTTTCCCCCTCCCAAAAGCCTGTGGAAGCTATTCAGATACTTTTCTTTCTCAAGGACAGTGCTGAAATCGCTGTTTCTCCATTGCCATGTTTCACAGAGGCCAGGCATCCAACATGACAATATTTGTAAAAATAACTGTCTGTGCTCACTGTTGTAAAGGTAGAAGGGAAAGAACAATCTTCAAACACAATGAAAATGTGTGGTAGTTGTGGGTTGTGGTTCAGCACAGATGGTACTTGTTGAAGATGTTGCTGCACGCAATATTTAGTAGCATCCTCTGTGAGCGTTCAGACTGGATGATGTTTTTTTTGCATGGTGATGTAACCTGGATGGACGTTATATCAACAATGACATGATTTCACCTTGGCCAAAGAGGTTGTCCTCTGCAGTTATGCTCACTGATGTCTCAGTGGTGGCTGAACCATGACAGCTTCTGACAGTGGTAATGGCTTTTGCGAAATGGGCACAGGTTTGACAAATTGAGATGACTAAACATGTTTTCTGTGGCCTAAACCTATTGCATGATTGGTAAAGGCAAACTGATATGCAATCTGGACTGAATTCACATTGCCAGATCCAGTGGTTTTAAGTGCTCTCTCCTGATACTAATTTTGTCCTGCAGATACTCTGTGGTTTTCGGCACTTTTGTGAAGTGAAATGGCTTGCATTTAGGGCTTTTCCATGCTGATAACAGCCAGACAGTTCTCAAAAACTCTCCATTACAATGATTAATTTTCCAGAATACTGGCAATGCATTGTCAAGCTGCGTTTCTCTGTTAGGCAGTGAGGAAAATAACAGACTGGACATGAAGAAGCTTAGTTTGTTGTTTTTTTTGACAGCCCTACTGCCAACACTAAGCCATGTGCACTCTGTGTCTCAGCCTAATCCCCTGTAACAAGGAACAGTTTACAAACAATGAACAATAACAATTTCAGAGGGGTGCTGAAGCTTCTGTTATGCGCTCAAAGCTCTCTTCTAGTATGAATTACAATAGAAATACAAAGCTAAAAAAAGAAGCAGCCTTTTGAAGGAAGCCATATTGGAGGTTTTTTGCAGCCTCTGAGAGTGTTTGGCACAAAGATAAGTTCTTTACATTTGTCCATAGAATATTTATGAAGTTATTTCCAATACCAGAAGTCATTCAGGCTCAATGAACTGCCTAAATCAAAGCCAACTGATGAGTGGAAAAAATGCTGTTATTTTAAAGGATTTTAAAATAGATACATTAGTGTCCTAGTGATGCAGTCAGAAAACTCTCTTAGTTTTTGTTTCCAAAATATTTTTGTGTAAGCACAGTTCAGAGGCAGGAGTGTCTGAAGAATCTGTTCATTCTCAAGGATGTCTTCACCCAAGTCTCATTCCAGTTGCTTGCTAAACAGAGCAAAACAAAAAGTCATTTAGGAAAAAATAATATAAACATTTTTTATAAATGCTATATGAAGGACAGAGGTTTCCTCACCTTGTCAAATATTAAATTACCTTGCCTTTATTACTCTGTAGGCTATTTTTATGACTTTGGTCTTTCATCAGTGGTAAAGTCCTGTATTTTTATGTTTCCATCTTTGACCAAAAAAAAAATATGTTTAAGCAGAGGCATATTGCATGAGGCAGTGCTTTCAAACATGAGTTGGCAAGGGGGATGTGAGAAAGAAGATGCCAATACTTTCCTACACATCAAAAACATTAACTGCTTCTTCAAAAGAGGAATTTTTAGAACGTCATTTCATAATGTAGAGGTATTGGAATGCATTTAAATATGAGTCAAGCCCTAGCTGTAAGGAGCAACAAGTCTCTTTTTCTGACAAAAACTTCTTTCAGTTACATAGGAGACTTTATCTGCTTGATGCTATTGGATACTGAGCAACATGATATAATAAACTAACATAAGATGCATTAGAGATGATCCCATCAAAACATGCAATTAATTTGAAGAAAATTTTCTAAATGATATGTTCTGGTCTGGTCAGGAGCAGAAGTTAATGTCTCATTATTCTGTGTCAATATCCTGAGAGATCTGTGATCCTTCAGCCTGAAGAAGACAAGTCTCCTCACAGGGTCTTATCAATGTGTGTAAATACCTGCTGTGAGCAAATTAAGATATGGGAGCCAGAGTTTTGTCAGCAGTGTTTGTTGACAGGACAAGATGTAATAAGCACAAATTAGAAATCAGGAAATTCCATCTGAATGCAAGAAAACATTTTTCTTTATTTTTTTCTACTGTGAGGGTGATCAAACGCTGGAATAGGTTGCCCAGGGAAGTCATGAAGTTTGGATTTTGGCTAAAATCTGACTGAATGTCGTCCCAGACAATCTGCCCTGGATGACACTGCTTTGAGTCCTGAGGTTGGACTAGCTGATCTGAAGAACTCCTCTCCAACCTCAACCATTCTATGATTTTGTAACTTGAAGCTTGAGTTCAGCATTACAAATTTGACAGTAGAAAATCATTTTAGGGTTTCTGTCATTAAAGTTGATTTTCAGCTTCAGTCATAATTAATTTCTCTTTTCTCTTCCAGAAAACTCAACAATTTCAGGCCAAAGGAGCAGTTTTCCAACTTCATTTTGGACCAGCTCTTATCAGCCTCCCCCACCACCATGCTTAAGTGGAGTACACCCTGATTTCCCCGTTACTGCACCAGGCACCTTCCCAACACCAGATCCCAGCAGCTGGCCAGGACACAGCCTTCATCAGACTGCCCCACCTCCTCCCCCTGCTGCATCTGAATCCTGGCATTATCCTTTAGCATCTCAGGTGAGCCCTTCGTATGCACACATGCATGACGTATACATGCATCGCCATCACCCTCATCCACACATGCACCATCACCATCCCAGTTCGCACCGCGACCCCCGGTACGGGTCCCTGCTAATGCCTTCAGTACGTGCAGCCAGGATTCCTGCTCCCCAGCGTGACGTGACTAAGACAGATCCTGCTGCTGTCACCAGCGCTACCTCAGCATGGGCTGGAGCCTTTCATGGAACGGTGGACATTGTGCCAAGTTTTGGGTTTGACGCAGGTAAGATGGTTCAGTTGTGTCTGTGACTTGTTTTAGCAGAAAGAATTCAAGCAATGAAGTGGACTCCCTGCAGCTCAAGTAGGGTTTGTTCTTAGAGCCTTCTCCGAATAAATTTCCAGGTAGAAATCCCTCCTGAAATTGCTCTCAGAGCAGATGAGCTGTGAAATATCCATCTCCCTCTGCCTTTTGCTGAAAGACCCTTGTCTCCCTTGGTCCCTCTCAAGACAAATGAGTTGTGACATGATACACAGTTTTTTGGTTTAAATCTTGTGGGAAATGGCTAATTAAACTTTCACGTGGAAGCTTCCAGCTTATTCAGCCAATTCATGTTTTCATTCACCAAAATACAGCTCCGATGAGGACTGAACTAATAACTTGTCAGTACATGAGGATTGCATCTTACTCATGTAAATTGGAAAAGCGCAGCATTTCCTTCCTGTGTAGCATCCAGGTGTCACATAAAGAAGAGATGCTGTTTAAGCTGTGCTCACCATCATACTCGATTGTTGTAGGGGATAGGCAGAGGTCTCTGAATCAGATTAATTTTACTCCATCTGTAGCTATGGAACAACCTCCATAAACTACATCTGTTGCATCACAGGCAAGATTTGACTTGAAGGCTCTCATCTCAGCATTAGGAGCAGTCTGGTAGCCCTCCCTGTTTATAGCCATTTAATATCAAAGTGATGGGTGACTTATTTCCAGAATGTCCATCTGTGCTCGTGTGCTCTGTTATGGTCTCTGTTTTCTGCATGATGTGTATCTGACCAGCAGGTTAGTACTTCTGAAACACCTTTTGTTACTTTATTCAGGAAATACTGGGTTTGCATCTCTCTTCCCTTTTCCTTGAGGTATCTTTTTCTCCGTTTTTTTGAGGATGTCTTCTTGATAGCTCTAGCTAACTGATTCCATGTGTAAGAACTGCTTTCTTGCTTTGGTTAGTGTGTAAGGGAAGAAAGAATTGGTGGAGGAAAAAATGCTGTTTCTTAAATATGGAATAATAGAAACCAGAACCCAATTATAGTGAACGTAATGCAAATTTCTTTCTTCCCATAGTAGCAACTTGGAACCTATAACCTCTTCTAAGTACTATGCCACATACTCCTTCAAGAAATTAAGAAAAAGAATAATAGGATTTTTAATACTGGATGATTTTATATTTATTAATAACACTTCCAGCCAACCAGATGATACGAGATGTATTATTACATTTTATGCTTTTATGTATGAGAAGATAACCTAACAAAATCACAATAGTAAGTTCTATCTTTCTGACAAATTCCGTAATGGAAGTTGCTTTCTCTGAATCATGAGCAAATGGTCATTGCAAGTGATGGAGGGGACGAGCCCACTGGTCAGACAGTAGCCCCAGCAGTCCAGCTCCAGAACTCTGTACTTGACTTACCTTTTGGGGGACAAAAGAGCAGCAAACTGTATAAGGGATTGTTTGTCAGGAAGAACCACTACATGGCTTCAGTACAAGTCTCACCTAGGCTGCAAGTTGTTTCTGTACTGAGCAAGCTGGTTTGTATGCTGTTTCTGGTACGTGCTTGATGTATAGATTATAGTCTGTGAGTTCCTCTGGGTTTGAAAAGAAAGATGAAAAATTATATGTGACCAGCTTATAGAAACAGAAGATCTCAGCAGACCAATATCTCTCTTGTTTATGACTATTGAAAATGGCCATGCTCTGAAACACAATAGCACAACCTTATTGGGCAGCCCCAGCTTGATACCTAAGGCTTTGGAAACAATGGACCAGACAATGGATGTCACAGCACATAGTGGTAACCTGTGACATTACAATTATCAGTTTGCTTACCCTGCACACTCCTCTTTTATGATCTCCAAGCAGAGACTTGCTGGGAAGGACAGCAAATCTCATTCAGAGAGATTCCCTTTCCACATCTGGTGGATTTGAGACAAATGCTTTGGTTACAGGTATTCAAGGTGTGACCTAAGTGGAAAGAGGGAGGTTAATTGCTCCAGTGTTTTGCATGCATGTCAAATGGAGTCATCCAGGGAATGTGTGTTGTGTTGCAGGGTAGAGGAGGGAGCTGCTGAAGCACCACACTGAATCATATCTAGCATTTACCATCACTTTCAGTGCTTTTCTTGTTCCCTGTCCACTCTGAAGTAGAGTTTTCACTGTTTAAGTCTCCACAACACACAGAATTTTATTGCATTTAATGCTAGCGCAGGATGGCAACCTCAACAGAGAGGCTAAAAACTAGAGGGCCTGGGGAAGAACGTACTCACCTTCTTGTAAGAGGATTCCCCTGAGCTGGGTAAGGCCATAGTGGCAAGAAAACTTCAGTTCTGGAAGTTTTTGACCACATCTCCCTGAAGAATAAAAGACATCAGCATCTGGAGCTGTCGATATATTAGATTACATAAGCTTCAGTTAATTTATTTGAAAAAAGCTAACACATCTAGAGGATGCTTTTCAGAGTCCTTCAGATATGCAGATGATTTTTTCCCCTCTTACTGTGAGTCACATTTCTTGTGCTACTGTCACATGCAATTATAGAAACATTTGCAAAATTCCTCACGCTGAATTAGACGGAGTGATAGTGTTGAGATCAGGGCAGGCTGGCGGTAATCTTACCCTCGTCCAGCTACATTGTTGCATCTCAGCCATGCAAAGCCAAATACTCCATCTTCTGAATGGATGATGCTGAACCACTTCAAAGGTTAAGAGAGGGCTCCCCTTGCATGCAGGGTGTAGTTTGGGAATTTGTTTCAGAGCAGATTGTATGGGACATTAGCATCTCACTGTTTGCAGAGCTAACAAAGTATCAATCTTTCACGCACATCTGTTTGAACTTACATGGTCCTGTTTTAGTAGGATGAGTAGGGATTAAGCTACCTGATTCCCATTAAATGTGGCTTAATCCTCATGCTGTATGCTGCAAATTAACCCTTTTAGATGCCTCTGTGTCAGTACAAGTGGGATTAAAGAAAACGCAAGCCTAAATCAAAATCTCTTGCAACTTGCTACATTTGTGGCTGCTGTTATATGGTGCCTTTCCAAAGCCAAAGTGCCCAAGCTATGGACCAGCTCGATATGTTTGATATCAAGCACCAAGCACAACATGTTTGTGCATTGAGCTTTAATTCTTTGTCCGACTGATGCCAAACAAAGCAAGGTCAGCCTCTAACAGCACTGACTGCAGTTCACAGCACATATATGTAGATCATTGCTGCAGCCACAGTTGTACAATGTTGGGACTAAATCCTCGCATTCATGTTAAGGGTGAGAAAGCTGAGTTGAGCACTTAAAACCGGGGAGAAACTGCTGTCTTGTTGCCACTGGAGCTGGTGGTTCCAGCCATCCAAGCTTGCCTGTGGGCCCTCGGGAGCAGAGCAGTGGGCACAGACACTCTTCAGGTGGTCAGTCAGATCCAGCTGGCAGCCCTGTGGGTGGAAGAGTAGAGCAACTTGCCCTGCTACTGCGGAGTCTGCTAGTAGGATATCCTGCCCTGCTGTTGGACAGATGTGCTGGAAGAGGTTTCCTGTAACCCCAGCACAATAAAAGCAGAGCAGGATTTTGGCGTATCTGAGGGCTGTAATTTTGTTTTAAAATTGAGGTGCACATCTGTCTGTCCTTATATTTAGGAGAATTAATCAATATTCTCTAGTCCTGGCTAACTATGGAAAGTCCACTTTGGAAATGCTTCTAAATCAAGGGGTCATATTGAATACAGAATTTGAGTGGTCAGTCTGCTGCCTTGCGTAGAGTTGTCTCCATTCACACACGCTACAAGTCGGTCACACTTCATCAGGCTGGTTTAGATGTTCCCACATAACCCGCATACCGTGTGTGTGGCAGTTAGCTACGTCGGCATCTCAGAGATGGAGAGTTCTGCTGTGGAATTACTGGCTTGTACAACACAAGCGAGGGTGTCTTTGCAAATGGGAAAATGTTTGTTCTAGCGGCAGACTGCAAGCTACTGCTCTTGGTTAGTAGCCGGGCTGCACTTGGATTACATGTTTGAACTGCAGATAGTCTTGCCACAAAGGATATGGGAATATAATGAGGAAAAGGCATGGAAAGTGTTTCACATTCAGTTCTGTAGCTAAGGCAACTTTCATTTCTTTGGATTATTTTCTGTGGCTGTTTGAACTTAATAGCTATACCTTAAACCTCCTTGTTACATTTTTTTCTGTTTCTTGCAAAGACACTTAAGTAGGAAGGTGTCTAGTCAGCTGGTTATTCACCTTCTACCGGTCATTACTGTCAGGTGTACATCCTCTTAAGCAGGTGTGTGTAATATATTTTTTTTAAACCGGTATGAACCATTCAATCTATTTCTCTTGCATTGGGAGAATCTATATCAGCTTGCGTTGCCTCTGGTGTCCTGTAGTGCTCCACTGGTAGACTTAAATGGCTTCCTTGCACTCTGAAAAGTTTCTGCTGTCCAACTGTCTGACTCCCCTTTTTATTATTATTATTAATAATTATTATTATATCTTTTTTCTTTGCTTTAAAAAAATAAATAGAAGGGGGAAAAATAACAAAAAATTGTCATCACTAACTCTGAGGAAGCTTTGAAGGAAACTAACAGTAGTTTATTATGTCACTGCTTGTGAGTGATACTGCCAGGAAAACACATAACTCATAAATAAAAAGGAAGCATCCTCATTGAGTAAGAAGTCTGCAAGTGTGGCATGCTTTTGTTGACAGATGTCCTGTGGTTTTTTTGTTTGTTTTGTTTTCAATTTAAAGAAATAGGTGGAATTGCATGTGAAAAGGAGCAGAGATCCACCCAAGAGGTGTGCTCTGCTTTCCCTTGTTGCAGCTGGACATGCAAGTGTTTGGGCACCGCTTGAGAGTCCTCACACAGATGGAGCAATGTGGTGTGATCTTTCACATGACTATTAATAGCTTTGTAGCTCAGCTCTCACATGTTGGTCATCAATAGTGATATAACTGTACCCCTGCATCAAGGATTTGGTGGATGGATCTGAATCCATCAGGCCTGTTGGAAGGCTTTCTAAAAACACAAGTCTTCCTTTGGGTTATGCTGTGTGATCAGATATGGAAATGGGTGAGCCATTCTCAGCACATCTTTAAGTCTCACAGGTTACTAAAAAGGTAATTTCAGCAGTCGTAACACCACTGTAGTCTGTTACAGTTGCACCTATTTATATTAGTGGTGTATTTGGCCTTAAAATTAAGATTAGGTAATCGGTGCATTGGTCTTGGTACAGCAGGACAATATATAGCACGATACAGAACAGAATTGCTGTCTGCATAGCAGTGGTTTATATTGGGAAGTGAACCTTCATTTCATGAAATTTAATTTTCTTGGCTCAAAACATCAAGGGGCAGGTTTTAAATCAGTAAGGCTTAAGTTCCTTGCTACCTCTTAAAGTATGCGCCTGCACCTCTCCTTTTTACTTTCCCTATAAATGAGCAAAACCATATCTTCTTTGGGAAGTTTCATCTCCACCTCCCCCTCTATTGTCTGGATTTTAGGTATCCACCCTGTTGGGTGTAAATCTAGTGAAGATTGAATCCCTCTGGAGTAGAGAAATCCCAGATTATAACACAGGTTCCAAGTCCATAATGCTAAAGCCACAACATAGCACCACATTTATTAGATAGTCCTCACTTTTTATAAAGGAAAATGTTAGAAGAACTCATAACAAATGCAAGCTGAAAATCATTAATTTTTCCCATGTGGAAGCACTAGCCGTTCTTGGCTAAAAATCTGACACTCCGTAGGTGAAATTATTTGGGTTTTTTACTTGCTGCAGGAATATTTTACCTCTCTCCTCTGTAAGGTGAAATACCATAGAAACTGTGAGATTCTAAAGTGTTACAGATCTTTTTGAAAAGAGATAGGGGCCAGCTATTGACTATCAGGAAAAATGATGTTGTTCCATAGTGGATAGCCTGCACAGACCTTGCAGGACGATTTTATCACGCCATGCTCCTCTCCAAATGAGGCCAAAAAAAGGAAGCACACATAATTTTACCAGCATTCCTGAACTGCTTGAGCCAGTCTAAAACTTAAGTGGGGTTTAAGTTTGTCGCAAATAAACTATAAAAATTGAAGCAATAGCAATGTTACTAATAAATCCACTAGGCTGGTAAGTTGTGTTTGTTTTTGTTTGGGGAGGGGGAGGAAACAGCTGTATCAGATTTTAAATGTTACTTTTCTTTTCCAAAATCCAGGTCTACAGCATCAGGACAAGAGCAAGGAAACTTCCTGGTTCTGAAGTTTAGATATAACTTAACTCCATCTAGAGCTGGAGTCAGCGCAGCTGGGCAGGCAATATAACCGTCGTTGACTCCTTCTGCATGGGGCAAAGGACACACATGAAGATGAAGAGCCAACCATTCTGGTTTTGCTATTGAGCCTTTTATTTTTAAGGCCACTTATGGGTCCCACAGAGTTGGAAAACAAACAAACAGACAAACTCGCTTTTCTTTCTTTCCTCATCTGAGCCTGCTGCAGCTGGGCAACCTAACTCCTTTCTGCTACTTTAACAGTGTTTTGTTTTGTTGAGCTTGATATTTTTATGAACAGTTTTAATTGTCAGGAAAAAAGACTCTCCCTTGACTACAGTGCGCCTCCTTTCAGGAATACATTATTTTGTAGCTCTTTGTGCATCTATTTTTGTAGAAATACAGAAAGTTTGGGTAAGGATTGATGGGCTATTTTAGGATGACATATTTTTTTAAAAAAAAAATTGTAAAATTGTTAAGTTCTGTTTAAAGAACTTGCTCTCAGAGAAGCACTGGCAAAAAAAATGTATAAAATGCTATTTTTAGATGTCTGTGATGTGTTTGTGCATTTTGGGTTTGTTTTTTTTTTTTTTTGTTACCTCAAATATCTATCTTTCCCTTCTTTTTAAAGAGCTAAACCTTCCTTCTTTCCACATTACTAGATCTTGATGTTTTCGTCCTCTAGTTCTAGCTTAAGCAAGTATAATTCACACCTAAAGTTTCAGCCAAATATTTTTCCTGCTGGTGTTAGATTCTAGTAAGGGTGTGTTTCTTCATGTTTCTAAAGACAGCTTTGTGCTGTACTGATTGTCAGAAATTTGCAAACACCTTTAGCATGGAGCAAAGCCTGGGGTTACAGAAACTGCATTTCCAACCCATCCATTCTTTCAAAATGGACCAAATACTTCTATGGATTTTTTATCTGACCTGAGTTTGGACCTCATCCATGATCCACAGAAGCTGATGAATGCAGTCGCCTATGAGTTGTGTTTCAGATGCTCATAGTGATTGTAACTACTAACATACTCATATTTTAAGTCGCGAGGCAGGACTTTCCACTAAGTTATTTCAAGGGTTTTAATCTGTAACATGAATGTTTAGAATAGAAATGTAAATTCTATAAAAATGTGTGACTTGCAGAAACAAAATGTTTTCAAATGGCCTGATCAGTCTGCTGAGCACTGCATGGGAAGAGTTGAAACTTTCAACACTTGTTGATTTCAAAATCTAGTTGCCTAACCTAAGATTTTTTGGGGGCCTTGTGGGACCCCAGCTACAGCTCTTGAATGTCATAGGAAGTTGTATGTGCTCAGCATGCACAAAAGCTAGGCTTTGCTGCTGTAAGGGTAAGAATGAACTGGGAAATTATATGGCCACATCTAGCCACAGCACACTGCAAAGTGTTTGGGAAACCCCATTTCTGTCCTGGGCCTTGAGTCTGACCTGATTAATAATGACTTTAGTTGAAGCCAAGCGGGAGGAGGATCCAGCCCTGAATAAGGGCTACAAGATTGCCATCAACAGCCCATGTCCTGCAATGGGCTGCTGGTGGATCAGCCTCCAGGCCCAGCAAGGTGGTGGTAACTCCAGCAACATGACAGCACATGCTTAGGTGAGACCTAAGGATCAGGATCAGGGCCTGGGTTGCCAAATCCTGGCTATTGCTTGGAAATGTTGCCTTTCTATTCTGTTTACCTTCAGTGAATGAATATTTTTGGGATCCTCCTGTAGTATTTTCCAAGGCTCTCATAACATATTATTTCTGTTATCATTGTTTTCAGACGTAACTGTCTAAAAGGCAAACCAGCTACATGGAGATCAAGACCATAGACATCAAGACAGATTTAAAAAAATAAAACACTTTTAAGGCAGTGAACATTGTGAATGTAGGCTTGTCAGGTGGACACCACATGGGTGTGTGTGAAAAGGGAGGGGGAGTGTTGGGATGTGTCTGCCAGTCTGAAATTCAGGCCTTCCTCCCTGCACTGCTTCTCTCCAAGCTTTTGAACTTGATCCTATGAGGTGCTGAGTTCTCCTTTGACATGAGAGGGCTTGATATGCTGGCACTGTGGGAAGTAGGATTATATCACAGTTTGGTAAGACCCTTAATCATGTATCTTGCTGATATGATGTTTGAGACAGTGTAAAACTGTTGAAGGGACTATTCTTAAATATTACTTAAAAATAATAGGGTTGTTGTTAGTTTGTTGGGATGCTGAATTAAATATTATTCTCCCCCAGCCCCACCTCTTGTCCTTATAGTCTATCAGCATTTCTTCCTTAAGGAGTTTCACTCTCATGACAGTTCTATATATTGTTGCTGCTCTGGTGGAGCTAGCTTCTCGGTTTGTCAACGAATTAGTAACGGAATGGGAAAAGTGCATGGAAAGGAAGGTAACAAAAGCCTTCATGGCTTATTTATTTATCAGGACAGTGTAATTCAGGAAACATCTCAGGAATATGAGTTCCTGAGATAGATTAAAAATTGGGAATTATTACAGTATTAGAAATACTGGAAAAGAAAAAAAAAGAGAGATTTTTTATTATTTATTATTTTCCCCTGAACTTGGCAAAGCTGGAAGGCAAAGAGGTAATGTGTCACAAGAGAAACAATGAGAAAATTTGTAATTTAACTATTTGAACATCGGAGATTTTGGGGCAGAGGGAGCAAAACAAAAGGCAGTGTTTCTTTTAATATGTACTATATTTGACTTCCTGAAATAGTTAATGTCTAGCAAGAGCAGTCTGTTCATTGTCTTTGTTTTTGCAAGCTCAGATTGTGAAGGATCTCCTCCTGTTCCATGTAGTGTCAAAGCAGAATGAGACAGGAACAATCAAGCCTGAAGTTTGCACTGGAATTCCTTTCTGGACTGTTTTATTGAGTTGATGGCTAAAGGGAGTGGATATGTGATGATTCTGTTGCTTCTTTCTTCAAGGACTACTGTCATGCACTGTTTTGCTCATCAGCTTCCACTGCTGAACTTGTGATTGTGCTTAAAGTACTAGTAGTAAGTATGTAAGGTTTTGGGAGACAAGTGCCAGTGAAAAACTGCTATTTTCTACAGCTGTTCACACACACCAGTCAACTGACTTTGAAAGACAAATTTCCTCAGTAACTAACTGTCCCCTGTACTAACAAATGAGATGAAAGTAAAAGCACGAGTACAGCACAGAAAGTAAAAGCACAAGCAGTAGCCCTTCTTATATGACCTGTGATTTGAATGACAGGAAAGAAAAATGTCTTATGACAAATTTTTAAGTTAAAATCAGCAGATTTGCTTGTCTGTCATGCGCACACATATACATGCACACTAATACACATGCACAAATGTTCTTATGAGAAGCAGATGCTATGTTGGTATTGCTCTTGAAGGAAGAGGGGAGTGCTCGCTCATGATGTTGCGGTTACAGCTTATTGATTGCAGTGAAAAATAATAATAATAAAAAAAAAGGATGATAAGGCCACTCATGCTACCAAAGGGCCCTTAAAATCAGGTCACAGGCAAGTTATGTCTTAATGTGTTACTCAAGGGCTTGTTTCATTCTTTTTGTGTGTGGTGAATTCCAATGATGTACTAAGAAAGTGAATGATTCATTTTTTGAAGTCTTATAAAAACATGATGTACTCTGACACTATTTCTGGGAGAACATAGGGAAACTATTGTTTTATTTCAAGAAAATCTAAATACTAACCTCTTAAAACTGTTCAAGATTTTATTTCATTCCTATTAATGTTGAGAAATCTGCTGTCATTTTTTTTTCTTGTTTGCTTGAAGACTGGGAGTTTTCTACCTGATCGCCAGTTTTTGAAAAGCAGATATCCATCTTGTTTCAGCTGCAGTTTTCCCATCCTAACAAGATGATGCAATACTGCAGCTATTGAACACCCAGCAGATCTGATTTCTGGTGAGCTGAATAGGCTACACTTGACAGCAGTAAAATGCACTTTGTTCTAATTCCTCTCCTCACTAGTAACACAAATTCAGTTATTGGTTTTTCTGATGCCTCTTTCACAGTGTGAAAGTCCTCAGTGAATGTTAGGGTTTTCTCAACCTTCTGCTTCTCCTGCCTTGAACCATGCTTTTGGGGATGAATCTCTTTGCAGCTTTCAGAGAGAGAGACTGATTGCACATCTCTTGAGAACAGAGGTTGTGGGATGGAAGGGAATGTTGTGTCTCCCCACCTGTACTTATGATCAATTGCCTTGCACATACGCAACCTTTCTGCTTCCAGCCTACTGTGTATGTCTAGCTCTTCACTCCCATTTCCTTATGTATGTGTATATATTTACACACATGGTTATACCTAGTTCCCTCTATTCCACCCTCATACTTCAAATTAATTGAAATTGAAATGAATCTCATCTGACTGAAACAAACAACAAAAAAAAAATATTTTATTGCATTCTCCGTAACCTCAGGTGTGAATGGATTTTTTCCATTCTTGTAAAAAAAAAAAAAAAAAAAAAAAAGTGAAAAAAGCAACCCCATACCTCTAAGCCCAACCTTTCAAAAGCCCTGATTTGTTTTACAGTTAAAGATGACCATGGAGTCAGCCGAGTTATGTAGAGAGGTGCAATATGTTGCCTTTCAACAGAAAAACATATCATGTTGAATACAATTCTTTTAAATAATTTCAGGTACAATGTTTTTCTCCATATCAATGGACCATATGTTTCTTTTAAACAGTTTAGAAATATATATATATATTAAATTGATTTCTTGGCTTTAATACATTTGCCCTGGTGCTTTTAAAGGTTATTTGAATGACAAATATTAATTGTGTGTGTAGATTTTTTTTTTAAAGTTGATGCATGTTGTTTGGAACTGAAATCTCATGTAAAGCAGGATAGTATTTAAAAATAAATACTGCTTTTACATGTTAGCCCTATGGGCACAATCAGACAGTTATGATGCAAGAAGAGTTCCCTTTAAAGCCTAAGGGACTCGTGCTGGGGTGAGGTCAAAATCCCAGTCCCTGAAACAGGAAAGGCAGGAGGGGTCTTCTTGCAAAGGTTGAGCTGGTTGGTAATGCTGTTAGCAAAGATAATGATCTTCTCCAGCATTGTATGCTGATGGTTGGGCAGCCACTACACAACGTTAAAATTAGACTGTACTAGCAGGTTTACACTTGTCCCCTCTTACATGGTGAACTGCATGCCAAGGGGAATTAAAGATACCCCTGGAAACCTGTATTTTAGCTGCTCTTGGTCTGCAGAGTGCATGTAACCCTGTGGCTGTTCTTGCTCTTGTGGTCTCCATGATGGGACCATCTCCATCCTCCAATGCCTGGAGTTCTCTGTGAACTTGCAGGGTGTTTTTAGCACCTAGTAGAGGTTGTTTAGAGACAGTGATGATTAAAACATCACAGTTCTTATGCACCCACTCAAAGGCACAAGCCTTCAAGATGGATCAGCTGTGCATCATTGATGATGGTCGTTACAGAAGCCCTATTCTTGTTTCCCTCCCTCAGTGTCTGTGTAAGTCTTTGATGGCATTGAGATCATTGGGACCAGCCGTGAATGCCTGAACTGCAGTCCAGCGTTGGCTGGCACAAAGTGGAGGCCCAGAGTCTGGGCCAACATTAGTTAACACAAATTGGAATCCTCCTTGATTCCAGTGGGCTTGGGCTCAGGTAACTAGTACCTATTATAAAACTTATATTTATAGCAGTTGAGGTTTACAGTAATCTAGTAAAGTATCTGCAGAAGTATGCTGCACTTTCTCTGCTTGCTGTTTGTAGCTGTCTTTTAAATCCATCTGTCAAATCAGGGTTCCTCTCCTTCCCCACTTGATTTCCAACCCTGCTTCCCTCAAAACTCCATTGAACATTTCATCCCTCTCATCAAAATTGGTGGGGGACTTTGTATAAAGAAAAATGTCACTGTTTTAATTACTGAATAAATAATTTAATGTGAATTTTATTGTTATATTTTTAATGTAGCTTTTTTGGTTTGGTCTGTATTTCTCAACAGTTAGCTAATGCTTTTTTTTTATTCTTATGCAAGTGAAGAACTCATAAATCTCTTTGGAAATTACAGCATCCTGAGTATCTATTCTTTTCAAGAGATTTAATTTTTTACAGCTAAGGGTTTGTTTCCTATTGAAAACACTATAAAACAAGTGTTCTAAGATGGCCCTCTGCTGAAAGTGGACAGAGTGAAATCCTAGCATATAAGGATATAAGGATTCCAGTTCAGATGTTGTCAATTGCTTCCTCTGTGATGTCTTATTTGTTTCTTTGTTTATATCTTTTTAAGTTGCCTTAGTACTAGAGGCTACTTTAAAATCACACCTAGTAGAATCACTACCTGATGCTTCTTGGTTGTATGAACCTTTTAATTTTTGAATTTTGTTGTTATTTTGATGGTCATCAAGTAGAAATTTTCCATGAAAGTTATTTACTCAAATTGATTGATTTATTTTTTTTTTTAATGGCAAAGTTCTGTGATTCGCATTCAGGAAGTAACTTTGCCCTTGCTAAAATTATTTTACAGCTGTTTAATTATGAAATGCTTGCATGTCTGTGTTCTGGATCGAGGTCTGAAGGTTTGATGTTTCGGTCACAGATATATCATTTACTGTTCCAGCAGAGGGGGGGAGGGGAAACCTCCAAACCTTGGCCAAGCAATGAGCTTTTGAAAAATTGCCACTTGCATGCGATCAGCAGGGAACTGTTAAGAGTTTAGTTGCAAAATTCTGTAAAGATCCTGACCATATGGGCTGTGCTCTGTTTCAGAGCATCAGTAGATGAGCAGGAATTTCCCATATGTCCTGCTCCAGGCACCATTTCCAGGACTGGACAACAAGCAGAGTGCTTTGTCTCTGCTCAAAATCACCCTCTTCTTTCTTGGGCCATCAGAAAAAGGTAGAGGAGTTGCCAGAAACATAAGGAGAGGAAGGCCAGGGAAGGAGGAGTTTGGGTTCAAATCTTCCTGTAGGAGAGAATGGGGTTGGGAGCTATTGGGAGATAAACAGTCTGCATGCACAGTAGAGATGAAGATGGAATGGGGACCACTTCAAAACAAGCAAATAATGCCTAACGATTGTTTGGCTTATACATGAAAGAAGTAGAGGGGGATGTGACGGCCATCAAAAAATACGAGAATAGTGTGGGGACTTAGAAATTTGGGACAAACTATGTGTCAAGAAAAAGTTAGGATAAACATTGCAGGAAACTTATTTCTTTGAAGTGAGCTGTGTACACTGTGGTTTAGTCTGTGAGGAAAGATGAGGGAGCCCAGTTGGTTTAAGACAATCACATATATCCTCAGTGAAGCAAATGCATTTTAGGCAGCAGCAGTATGTTAATGTGGAGGATGAGCTAGCTGAAGTGCTTTTTCTTCTCCCTGTAACATCTTCTACTAGAGCAGGGCTCCAGTGGCCTTGCCTCACGTCTTGGTTTCCAGGTGCTCATGGATTCCTATATGATCTAATTGTATCACAAAGCAAGAGGAGGGGAAGGGATGCTCAAGAGGGAACATTATTTTGTCACTGATTTTGTTCACGCCAAACTACAGCCTCTGTTCATGTATATTGGTGCCACTCAGTTGACTTAAGTGATCTTACATCCATCAAGAATCTCATCATTTACATCCTAATAAATCTAATTCAGAGTTTTATTAGTTGGAAACTAGGTTCCAGCCTGGTGCCAGGGGGAGGTGCTTTCCTTGGTGCCAGGAAGGACCTCAGCAATGCTCAGACTGCTATGAGGGCATGAGGGAAATGCCATGGAAAATGTGAAGAGCGAGACTGTCATCCGCTGCACTGCTGGGGAGGCAAGCATGGCCAGGGGCCAGCTGCTGGGGTAGGGTCTGCTGGTCCAGCAGTTCCTTCAGCCCTCCGTGGGGACCCCTGGTGCAGCAGGGCCGGTCGTTCCAGCAGGACCTCGGGCTCCGAGGGATTATGCTGCCTGCATGACGTGGGAGGCCGGGTGGGGACCGAGACATCTGGTGAGAATTCCTCACGGCTGAGCTGTGCATTGGGCTGGGATGCCAATTAATTTAGCTGATTTCTTTTTTGGGGTTATTGGGAAGAGGAGGGGGGCTGGATGCTTCAACTTTCCAGTAACTGTCTCTCCTTCAGAACATCACTTTTGCTTTATTTCAAGAGAAGTGAGAAATGATATTTAAATAAATAAATAAATAACCACACACTAATGTCTTTGCCTTCACAATAACTGTACATCTGCAATGGTTTATCACTGTGGTAAAATGAGTGGGTAATAAAGTTTTGATGTTGGTCATTGTATGTACAGAGGTATTGCAGTCATTGAAAATGATTTGTTATGTGAATGCCCATAGTAGCACCAAAGTTCAAAGAGAGGTGGTTTGTTTTTCATGCCCATTTAGTTATGAATAACACCAGCTCTAATTTCCTCCTCCCACCAGCAAGCAGAGAGTTCTACACTGGAAGCCAAATATAGCAACAAAGATTTCTATATCTGGCCAAAACCAAGAAATCTGTTCCCTTTTAAGAATAGCACTCTATTCTTTACTGGTGGGGATAGATAAAGAGAAAATTCAACTTTAAGGAACTTTCTCAGTGGGAAACTCCCTAGTCTCTCTTGAATGTCCTTTTTAAGAGTATGAGGTTATTTTTTGTCATCTATGTCAATAGGGATGATTTCTGTAGAGGCTCATCGGTAAAGCAGTTTTGTGGTGGCAGTCTGTATAAATATTCCTCAATTGCTGGTGTATTGTTTCAGCCCTGCTTTGTCTTCTGAGCAACAGAGCCAATGCCGAATGGAAACTCCACAAGCTGCACAACTACCCCTGCTTTTTCTTCACCCTTTTCTTTCAGGTTTTCTTTTGTGGGGAAGTAATTCCTTGGTTCTGACAGATTGACTCCTGCTCAACCTGACAAGTAAGCTTGAGGAGGCGGCGTGCAGCAGCATTGCCTACATGCTCCCTTCCTTCTTGGCTTTTTCATCAAGGAGGAGTATGTGGGAAGCCATCCCTATGCTCTTTTTCATGACTTTTTTCCATTTTCAAGTTGTGTAGTGCCCACAGAAAGGTGTCTAGAGTTGGTGGGCTGCCCAGTTCCCTGCCTAGCTGGCTGGGCTGGAAGAAAAAGGAGGCATTGCAAACTAAAAACAGAATTCTTCAAGGCCAAATGCTTCCACCACTGATTAGTTATCTTTCCTGAACTGATCATCAAAATGAACGTGGACATGGGTGTCACTCTACATTTTTTACGCTGAAATTTTCCTATACAAGAAGGTAACCAACCCTTTCTGATCTTGAGCAGTTTTTATGACTTCTCTACGCTATCTGAGGAAGGCTATTTAGCCCTTTCTTCGAAGGTTTTATTCCCATTCCAACCCACCCCCACCACCCACCCACAAGAAACTGGCATCTGTGACATGTGAACAAAAAATCCCATTCTCTAATGTACCAGCTGTCCTTGTTTTAGAAGCATTGCCTCATTTGTTTTCAGACTGGTTGGCTGAAGGTCTTTGCTGTAAGGTGAACAGTTCAGGATTATAGATTTCAATCTTCCTCCTTTGGGATTCTGGGATTTTCTGCTGTTGTTGACTTCAGTAGAAACAGGTTTGGACACCTAATGCATCTTAAAACCAATGCGGGAAAGCATCACACAGTGAATCTACTTGTACTGGATTTGTTCTGCAAGATGTCTTACTGATGGAGTTTTAAATAAACACAGGGATGTTTTGAAATATTTTGTGTATGTAAATATGTAAAATATGCAAAACAAACTTAACAGCTGTGGGGTGTACTCATTGCTCACGTGAGGAGGCTTTGTGCAATGTTTTTTTCCATCATCCCCTCTTTTTTAAGCCTTTGCATCTGTTCCAAGATAATCACTTCTCTGTGATTCACATTGGACAAGGAGGGCGGAAGCTGGCTGGGCCTGTGTGTTGCCCTAAAGGGTGCCCAAACTTCCATGAAGAACCTCATACTTCATCATGAAGCATACTTTCTACAAATCACAGCAGCATGTGCCCTGTAGGCAATGCACAACAACCGCTTTACAGTAGAGATGGGACACGGTGTGGGTCCAATTGATCTTGGCCACCCAAGAGCGGTAATGCAAGGCACAACACATAGCAAAAAACCAAAATAATAGTCACCAGCATATGAGTCTTAGTTTCCTGAATTTAGTCTTTTTCTTAGGAAGGGGTGACAGTTTTGCATCCTCAAGTCCTCTATTTAGCCAGAGGGAGCTGAAGCCTAGGTACACATGAGATCCTGCTGCAGACTTCAAGAGTACTTCAGTAAGAAGAAAGTAGCACAGAACAAGCTCAGTCCATAGCACTATTAGACTACACTTTTATTTTATTGTTGGTAAACAGTATGCTTCTTTTAAGACATCTTTCCAGAGAGGGTAGTGCATCCTCCATGCACATCAAGTCTCTGCATTGCTTCTGAATGCATCAACTCCAGGATCAACATCACAGGATGCTTTGTATGACTTAGCTACCTGTTGTTTTTAATGATTTCTCCACCCTTATCCTTGCTTTTGTTTTCCATTTCCATTGCTTTATTGGCAGGTTTCCAAACTCCTGGCTGTCTGGCAATGTGGATATCTAGGCTCACGGCAGAGTAACTCCATGTCACACAGTTAGCATCTGTGTGCACAGTTTAGCCTGTCCAAAAGCTTGGGCTCATGGGTATCAGAGGGTACAAAACAAATACAAGCTCCATTTCCTGGCTTGGTGGTTCCACTCACAGCAAAAGGAAGTGCTTGGTACGAACAGCAGCCCTGGGTAAAAGGCAACGTGGAAGTAGAACACTGTTAAGCAGTAGCTCAGCAGGTATCCTGGCTACCTCAGGAAAAAAAAATAAAAAATGCACTTACTCTAGCAAGGAGATAGTGCATTCTCCAGAGATGTATTGCTTCTTATTCTCCTTTCTCCCAGATAGATTAGCTGCTGTAAGTATACGACTCAGGAGAGCCTAAGTATGTTTCTACTCACTTCCAGGCCTTTTGTGTGAATAGGCTTGAAAGGATTTTCTTGGTTTCAGAACTTTATCACGCCATGCAGCAGGTGCAGCATACCCATTCAAACCTTTATATGATGAGTAGACTTGCCAAAGTCTCAGTCATCCTATAAGGGTCTTGAGGGCTTTTTGCTTCCTAGGAAAAAAACACAGTGATAAGTGTAATGATTTGTTTGCTCTCAATGGAGCTAACCTTTATAGATGTGGCTTTAAACATTTTGGAAATGTTCTTTTGCATGGTGTTCATTATGTGACTGGCACCTCCCTGGATTTTCCTACCATTGCCAGTTGTCCTAATCAATATATGTATATATCTTTATGAGATCTAGTATTGTTAGAAAGCTCTTCCCAACCTTACTTGTGACCTAATGCAACAATAAAAGTCAACACCGTGGTGGGTCAGGACATTAGCAATCTATAGCAATGCCTTTGTGCTATATTTTCCTAGTTTTAAAAGTGACAGATTCCTTCCATCTTGTTTCCTCAGCTCCTGTCTCATGTGACCTATAGAGACTGCATATACATGTATTCTACCACCCTTTTCCCCTTGCAGCGACTGGAAATTGCTGCCAGCCTGGATGATACAGCAAAGTCTCTGAGGCAACTGTTAAAGCCCGTGGCCTGAAAAAATGTGACTGTTGTATGGCTCATGGGTTGCATGGTTAATTTTCTCTTGTTTTATGTGATGGAAAAGTAGTTGCTTTTTGTATAAAGCTAGATGTGAAATGACCAGAATATTACATAGGCAGAAACAATTCAAGAGCAGAATGCTGAACTTTTTCCTGTTCTCACCACCACAATGCCTCTATGTTGTCCTGAAGAGACCAACACAGGAGATGGCCTTTCATTCCTCACTCCAAGATTACTAGCTAGAAAGCATTTTTTCAGTTGCTTTCTGTTTATGATGCTATGCAGTATGTGCTGGTCTCATCAAACGTGGACAAGAAGCACCAAAAACATTTGGCTAGTGGTTTAGCTGCAGTAGCTGCAGTTCTGCTGTTTTCCATGAAGAAACTCATCATTCAAAGTATGCACTTGTAAAGCAGCGTTTGCAATGTGAGGGTCTGGTAACAAACAGAATGATGTCAACCTTGTTATTTGGATTTCAAATATGGAGAAGGTTAGAGGAACACTTAAACTAAATAATAAGATGTGTTTGTTAAGCTGCAAATCTGTCCCTTCAGAAATTAGTTACTTCTAGTATTTCAAACTGTATTTTGGTGTTTCTTAATAAAGTTTCTCTTTGGTAAAGGACAAAAAGTAGCTGTTATCCATGAAAAACATTGTTGATTACTTTTCCTGTGGCTTTTTGCTGACTTGAAGAAGTCTGAGAGAAGTATAGAGAACTCAGATCAACCAGTGTCAAAACCTCTAGTGCCCCCATGCACAGTTTCATTCATCATTGTAAACTCTCTTCTGCATATCTCAAACCTGTTATTTTCTTTATATGAAATCGGCAAACATTATAATTTCATCTCAGTTGGAATATTACTCCCCCCCCTCCCCCCGCCCCTTTGATGGGTCAGATTTAAACCATCTGCAGGCAGATGGAAAGGAAAAGTGGAATTATTGTTTTCACCAAAAAATTTTGCAGCTGTCAGGGTGTGTTTGACACAAGCCTGATGGCTAAAAACAAAGACAGGACACATTGTCCCGGCTGGATATCAGAGAGCATAAGAACTCTTCATGGCCAGCTCTTGGACATCTTGGGGCTAAATGAGGTAAACAAAATCATTACTTAGCCATACTCTAGGGCTTTCCAGAGAGATCTCTTCACTGAATTATGTACTGCTTTTGCTGGGCCTCAGTGAGACCCTATCGGTTTTGGCATGAGGGGGTGACTCTCTAAGTGATAGTCACAATACATCATAGAGACCACTGTTTTGTGACGGACATACCATGTGGCAGAGGCTGCAACCATCGATTCCAGTACCTGTCATTACGTATTGCTTCTATAATTCAGATAATTTATGGCTCTGTCATTAACAACTGCAGACATGAAAAAGGGCTTAAAGCAGAGCTTTCTAGGAGGGACACCAGGAGGTATGGCTTAAGCCCTCCCAAAGTGGACTAGAAGATTATTTCACCACTTCATATCCAAACACTAGTGGCTCCTAGGTCATACCAGCAGTACTTATTTTGAGAGCAGGCCTTTCCACAGGAGTATAGTCTGTCTGAAAACCAATCCAACGCTGCTTCAAGCATGTTTCTTCTGGAGGTTTTTTCAGTCTTCATTAAGAGTAACTGTTCCTCCTGCTTGCAGCAAGCTAGGCATCTTCAAGAAACATAGATGAGTTTCCACCGGGACTAAAGCACTACTCTTCTTATGCACTTGTTGTGTTATATGTAGAAGCATGATTCTTCATTGGTAATGTAGTGTTTAAAACTGCAAGGCCTTCCTAGTTTGTTTCTTTTTTTTTTTTTTTTCATTTGATGACAGACTTTTGCTGTATTTTTTTTTATTTTTTTTAAAATTTTATTTGTTGTTGTTGTTGTTTTAACTACTTGAATATTAACATCAGCAATATAACCTAAGATAGTTAACAATAACATTTTTGTCCTTTTCATTATGAGTTTTGAGAGTGATTATCTTATGAAGTCATTGGGAGGACTATTTTTCTGCTCTAAAGTGACAACCATGTATTATCTTGATCTCCCAGGACTGACACTGTTGTGTTGGTATTTACTCATGTTGCATTTCTTCCCCAGATAGTTTCTCTGTATACATCTGTAGACAAAATGTGCTTGAGCTGAGCTAAAACTAAGAAAAAGTCATTCAGGAACTGTGAGCTATTATCTGTCATTAAGTCATCTGGACCCTTGTGGTGCACAAGTTTGGAGTTGCACTGCTGTTATTCTGTGGTTACTGAATATGTTGTATGACAGCTCAAATCGAAAGAATTTTGGAAACAGTTCATCATCTAGTTCAGAAGACCCAGTTTCACACTGATTTTGGATCAAGGTATGATGGGATCGTGCTGCTACAGTTGTAATTTGCTAGCCTGGAAGGAAGGAAAAGCCCCAAAGATGTTTCCATTATTTTTTCACTCATTCTGGGGGACCAGAATTTTAACTTCAACAAGAAAACCAAGAAATCAGAGAGATATTGGTAGTATCACCACACAGAGACCTCAAAAAAGGTAGATCATGTAGAGGCTGAATCCTATTCATATCACTATCATTAATCCAGCACGTATAGTCCTAATGGAAATAGTAAGAAGATCTAGGGCACCAAAACTGACTTGCACAAAGGGAATATTCTTTACTACTTCTGTACTTGATATACAGTGCCTGGACATGTACTATGTAAAGCCTTAGGGGGAGGATGTAACAGACTGTGCTCCCAACGAGGTACTCTGCAGTCATTTACACCTGCATAAAGTAGGTGTGAAATGTTCCCATTCAGAACTGGAGATGTTCATTCTCATCTACTTAACAGGGATGTAAGGATCATGGAAGTGGCCAGACAAGGGAAAACCAGACCCAGCGTCTTGCTGGCCCCAATAGCGCCCCCAGCTCATGTTGGTTTATCTGGCAACCAGACTTATGGACAAGCCGGGAGTGCCTCCGCTCTGTGCCCTATCTCCATGAGCAGTTCTGAGGGGAGAATTATTATTATTATTATCAATGATAATAACAACAATAATAATAAATTAAAATCACCTGTACACTTATTCCTTTGCTGTTTATAACTGTCTTTGTAAATGGGAAAGAGAGGATACTAAATGTTGTCAATGAGGTAAGGCTGCTCTGCTCTCCCTGAACCATCCATTTGCATGCAGTTTCCTACTATCTGTAGGTTTAAGAGATCTGTTCCCATGTGGCAGATCCAGCTGTAAGTCCATCACTCATTGGAATCTCTCAGAAGGTGCATCTGTACCAATCCCTGTATCTCCTTGAGAGGAGGATGATAACAGGCTCAAGTAACAAGAGAATCTGAAATAAAACTAAGAAAGAGAGTGTCATAAGAGATGACAAACTTATTACAGAGCTTTGAATTAACCTGAGGTATGTTTAAGGAGGGAAAAACCTGGGACCATACAAAAGGAGTTTATAGAGAAAGCATTCTGGGGTATAAATATAACTTGTAGATAATGCAAAATAGCTCAGCCTCCGTCTCTCAGGAAAAAATGTAGAGATTTACATAACTCCTGCAAATGGCCAGCTGCAGAGTTGTGCAGTTCTGTCACTGGTGCAGCTCTGCTTCTTAACCATGGATATTTAGTTCCGTACTGCAGCCCTACCAGTGGTGTCTTATAGTTTGAATGAGAACAAGAAAATAGTTTTGTAATGATAGCTTTTCCCACTGTCTGCAACCTGACTTGTTTAACAAAACTGATCCTCCAATTTGTTATTTCTTTCCTTTTAAAGAAGTGTTTTAATACCTAGACATGATCCAAAAGCCACTGGATTTTGAAGACATTATCCAGCATTTATTCTGGCTGTTTTGTGTGCATCAGAGTCCTGTAACATTTGTTGCTCTTTCTCAGACACAGCTGAATATGATCTGCCTTCATAGCAGTAGTGATGTAAGGTCTCAGATGGGTCCTTCTCCATTTCTGCAGTTGTAGGTGCACTGAATGGTCATTATTAAAGCAGATTCCACTTCCAGAAATGTGATGAACATTATCGTTTGTGATCAGTATATTCCACTAAAAAGTAAAATATTTTGATTAACTAATTAAAGGTCAGGGTAATAGGGTAGAAATTTTCAGCTGAGTACACAGCTGGCTGGGCTGAAGGAAGCGATAAAGGGCTTTGCTGCAATTCATCCACCCCTTGCTAACAAAGATGAAAGCTCAGGTAAGCTTTTTGTGTTCTACCATTAAACTAACTTTGCATCATATTTGTATGGATTGCTCTAGAGTACACAAATCAGCTAAGTGAATGTTATCGATGTGACAGGCCGTTGTTTCTTTTTTTTTTTTTTTTTTTTTTTTTTTTGTTTACCCTCCTTTCTGTTCCTAGAGTTGAGGAAGTTGTTTTCTTAATTAATACCTTGCAACTATTCATTTAATAGAACTTACAGAAGGTGTCTGAAATTTTTAAGTAGGAAGAAGTGAAGAGGTATAACAAGATATTATCGATGCATTTTCTGTTTTGAGGTATGGTTATTACATACCTATTTGGTTTTAGTTTCCTTACAGAGGAAGTCATGTAGTTTTCTGTATCTTCTTTCATCTTCTCTGGGAAATTTCCAGAGAAGTTTGTGTTCGAACTGAAGTCTGTAATGGGTACAGTCTTTTATTGGGCTGAATGCATAATAATAGGTGTGCTTCTGAGAATGGGTCTGAGAGCACAAAGTTTCCTGAAGTCAGTCCTTAAGTAAAATTGTAGCACAGCTGAAGCTAGGTGGTGTTTTACTATTGATTTCACTGAGGTCCTTCTTTTCATTATTTGCTTACCTGAGCTGTTCAAACCAAATTGTGAAAAATGTGTACGTTCTGTTCCACTTCATAAAGAATGCATATTGTTTAAGACTTTATGAAGAAACATGTTTACTTTTTTGATGACAACATGTATAAGTTGTTTAAATGTATATTTAAACTGCTAACATGGAGATCATGCAAGCAACAGAAGGTATGAATATGTCACTGGGCATTATTAATATTAGTGCTCACGCTACAGTGAAGGATTAGAATTTCACCAGAAGCTCATCCGGTGTTAACTGCTGCATGCAAACACAGTTCTCTGTGTTCGAAAAATTGCTTTCTGCCTGTAAATGTAGCTGTGAGGAACTGGGAGAACAGGGAGGTCCCCCTGCTGTTGGGAGACAGGTGACTGCAGACAAGGATGTTATTGTGGAGCAGTGCATTTCTGTGCTCCTGTGAAAAAAATGCCTCCCTGCAAAAGGCTTTAATGTGAAAGGCAACGATGGATAACATTAATTATGAAGAGAAGAGATTTAAACCAAACAAATAAATTGAAATCCTGAGATGGATTGTTCAGAATTTACCTATGTCATTTTTTTTTTTTCGTGTAGATGGCTATAATTGTAACCACTAGGCATGGCCTGTGCAACAGCTTGACTGCTTCCATTTACAGGCAATTATTAACAACACTGTTTAATTACAAGCTAATTTCCTCTAAAGCAGCTTATGCTTGAAGCTTCTGTGATTTAAATGTGAAATGACCCCATTATTCCTTTATTTAATTGATATTAGCTGAAACTAATTAACATACAAAACTCAAATCAGCTTTAATTAGAGAGCCATTACTGGTATATCTCTAATTAGTATTAGAGGTGGAAACATTTGCAGTGATGCTGAATTGTTAACATTAAGAGTAGCTGTATGAGCCACGTTGAAAGTAAATGGCTTTGGAGAGAATATATCTAGAGAGCTTTTGTCTAAATTTACTTTAAGTGACAAACTTAAACTGTAAGCCTACTCTTAAAGACAATACACAAATTGTCATATTTATAAACTACTTTGAAGACACCTGTATGTGTACTTTGCTTTCATGGTGCGCTATTACAGTAGGCTGCTTTTCTATCTTAACAGAGAAGCTAAAATTGAGCTAATCTTCCCCAGTTACACAAACAAAGTCTCATTCACAGCAGGGTAAATTTCTCCAGCTGTTTATGGACCGGGTATGAACAGCTGATCTCTTCTAAAGAACTCAAGCTGGGAAATAAGGGGGGGGGAGGGGGAATGCTGTTGAGCAGGAGGTGAAATGGGTAATGGTGTAACCTACTGTGAAACTGGTCATTCAGAAAGCTGTGCATTTTACCCATGCCGCCTTTTCTGATACTGTTTGGTTTGCTTTTTTTTTTTTTTTAACATGATCACTTTGCTGCTGTAGAATGCATCAATGCTATTATAACCCCCTTGATATGCTTTGATTAAGACAAGTAACTACTTTAAAAAAAAAAAAAGCACCTGGGTGAGAAGGAGCCTGCAACAGGACAGGGAATGGAAACTGTGTAGCTTTTGAACTGAGGAAAGAGCCCATGATGTGGGAGAGCTTCTCTATGCTACAAGTGTAATGTCAGGAAGGGATGTGCCTATCTGTAATGAGCCTGTCCGCAGCTGTCCCACAAGAACCTCCCAGCCCTACTGGTAGGGGAAGGCTACCAGTAAAAAACTTCTTTTGTGCTGGATAGGTGTAAACCATTTTCTCTAACAGTGCCGTATCCATTAAAAAAAAAAAAAAATCAGATTTGCTTGCTCTGATGCTGTTTTTTGTGTGTGCGCGCACGCATCACTTTATGTACATAACAGATAGAAAACATGATTAAACCAATTGCATGTAAGTCTCTGGTCCGTATTCAGGAAATGCAGTAGGATGATAGTCTACGTGTGTATGAAGGCATGTAAAAGCACTTTTTATGTATTTGTTTCTTCTTGCCTGTTTGTATTTTTCTCATCTTGGAGTGTAACCTCTTAGACAAAGGTTAGATCTGAAGCTTTAAAAAAAAAAAAAGCTGGGTTGTATATCATGCAAAGGTGTATTATGGTATATGGTAACATTAGTTAGAAAACAAACACAGCTATACTGTTGTGAATGGCTCCTTGGTATGGCAGGCTGATGCGTACCAGGCATCTCTGGTGACAGCTGGGCAGTAACAAGCAATATGTTGTCAAGCTCCATCTCGGTGGTAATATGGCTCTACCCAGATCTCCTCCTGGTCTTATATAAGTTTGCCTCTTGGCTGTTGTAGGTTTTCCTTTCTTAGTTTACCAACCTTAGTTTACTCTGTAACTTGTTAATTGCGCTACAGCCAAAAAGCTAATTTATCTTTACTGCAGGAATTTTTTTTTAGCCAAATCCAAATGCATGGAAATGAGAGAAAATCCCTCAACGTTTGTGCATCTGAATGAAGCCTTCAACTGGTATCACTGACTTTCTAGCGGATCATGTTCTAGATCTCCTCTTGTATGTTAAGCTTTTTCAGCTGCATGCTGTTTTAAAGAACATTGATAGTGCTCAGATTTATTTCTTTATTTATTTTTTAAATTTTGGGAGATGTCACTGAATCCAAGGAAGAAGAAATTTATCAACAGTGGATAGAGCTTGGATCAGTGCCTTGAAAACCTCTTCTTGGAATGCTGTGGGAATTAGTCAGGTCTGTTTGTGCAAACGTACATACAGCTACTGACTTAAAGCCTTTGCACTGATCCTGAACTTCTGGAAATTGGAATGCCTTCATTTATCATCAGGAATTCACACTAAGATTTCTTCTGCATGTATGTAAAAGCTGAGGGGTATAACTGAATAACCAGAATGGAAATGTTGGCTGAGAAACAGGTCTTTAATTTTGTTTACATACCATGAAAGTAGCCTAAAGAAAGTTGCTGTAACTAAAGGGGTCTAGATTTCTCATAGGGGGTAGGGGGGAAGACAGAAATAAGTCTATGTCCCATTGCTGAGTGGTCATTAGCTTTTACAAGTTACTTCCTTTTTCCAAGGTCTAATTGGTGGCCTGTTGGGAGCCCTGAATGTTGAGCTGTCAAAACAACCTCTCTTTTTATTTTTTTGTCACATTCCAATATAATTAGACAGATGATTACAGTAACAAACACAGTACCAGCTGTTTGAAGCTTAATAATATTTAAGTGTTACCATCCCTTTATTTTTAAGGTACCGAAACATATGGGAATCATAACCCATTTCTCTCTCCCTCTCTCTCTCCTTACTCTGCTAAGCTACATGTTTGTATTCACTTGCCAAACCTGTGTTTGAAGAAAGGAGGAAAAGAAATAATAATTCTAAAATAACCTGTAATAACTCCAGCTCATCTGTCCCATTCATGAAAGTCCAGTTCTCCTTCTTTCCCCAGTTCTTCACTGACATTACTTCCCTGGGCACAGAAAAGTGACAACAATGTGTAAATAGATTGGTGCCACTTTTCCAGCCTGAAGCTCGGTTAATGGCAATAAAAAGACTAATAACAGTAATAAAGATTTTTTTGGACTGCTCTTTTACTCAAAAAACTCCTTGAGGCAGCAGATGTGTCCTTTCTAGTTGGGGCTACATCACTGCTCGGGCGGCTACTGGAACTAATTTCTCTCCCAGGATTCAGATTTTCTGCAGAAAAAATTGTCTGTTTTCAGATAGACACTTACTTTCTCACTTCTCCTGTATAGTTTTAAAAGGAAAGCTTATATAGAAGACCAAAAGCACAAGAAAGGAAAGTAAGTAGTAAAGTAGTTTAAGGATATCAAAAAAATATAGCCAAACTCACCCTGTGCAATATTACTCAGAAAGCTGCTGAGTTATTCCAGGGATTAAACTGACCACAGAGCTTGCATTCCTGGTTGTTCAGAGCTAGCTTTCTGCCAAAGTACTTTAAGACTTTGGCATCTTTTGCTTTCATGTAACCAGGGTTCGGGTCCCGTAGCTTTATCCCCTCCACTCAGAGCTCTGTTCAGCAAAATCCCTGGGCTTTGCTTTCAGTGTTTATAACGGGTGGGAGGAATGTGCAGAAGGAGGCTTGAAGGAAGAGGGAAGCCAAGGACAATAGTGGATTCTCTAATGCAGTATAACTGGGTTTCTCCACCTTGCCTGGCACTGGTGTACAATGTTCAACAAGTGGCATACTTAGCTCTGGTCAGGTAGAAGTCATACTGTTTCACAAGGCAGCGAAATATCTCCATGTTTGGGACTGAATACCCTGGGTGCTTAGTGGGAGCTTTGTCAGATGGGTTTGGCTGGGACCCTGGGGAAGCTGCCTCTGTCCCAGTGGCATTGTGGTGTAGGGCTGCATGCAGTGCAGCGCAGCTCTGTGCTGGAAACAGGCAGCAGGTGTGGTGGTTCCTTATCAGCCAGGTGTCCTGTGGGGTCTCCAAAATGGCTTTTGCTTCAGCTGGAGATTAAAATCTTCTTGAATGAACTCTGTGTTTTGGTTTCTTTTAAAACATTGTGAGGTTGGGACCAGTCTCCTTTTAAATATGGAATGAAAATCAGCATAATTGCTGCTACCCTAGCCATTTGCAGAAAGTACCACATACTTGCTCTCAGAGGTGCCTGAATTCATGCTATATAATGGGGGTGATTTCCTGTAAAATCTGATTTAAGGATGATAGTGTAAATAAAAGGTTTATGAACTTTAGTAACAAAGGAAAGCTAAGGAGATATTAAGATAGCAGACAAATACATCCCAGTCAATTTCTTTTTTGGGGAAAAAAAAAAGTATCATGTTTTTATCAAGAGCATTTTCAACAGAACATTATGAGTGGATACTTGGCTGCATAAAAGATGAAGTGCTTTTCCTTTTTTCTTCCTTTTTATTTCTTTTCCTTTCCTCACCCTCTTACTACTTTCAGTTTTGAAAATGAATCCTTTCCAACAGGCTGATCCTTTTTTGATGTTGAGTCAGTGGACAACTGAGCTATTTCACACTTGGAGAGCCAAATTTCGTCTCCTATTGCACGTGTTCAAGCCTAAATTTGGGCCTCAGATGTTTCAGCAGAGACAAGATTACTGCAGGCACAGGGTGTAGAAATTTACACTCAAGCTTGTGTAGGTATGCTAGCAAGATAATACTTTCCAGGATGGGAAATCACTTCACCTTCAATGAACAATGTTGAAGAAATAAATCTGCTTTAAAGAACAACAAGAAAAAACCTTCTGTTCTCTCTGCCTTTTTTTTTTTTTTTTTTTTAATTCCTGAAGGATGCTAAAGGGAACTTTAAGGTAATATTATTTTGTCTGCATGGCCTACAAAGTCTCTGGCAAAAATCAGGGAACCTTATGGAGTTCTGTGCTTAATGTTGGTGACACTTCTTTGTTCTGGCCTGACCCTCTCTTATCCTCAGAAGAGGGTGACACAGTGATCTTAGTGCTGTTTTGGGATGAAAATTTCCTACTCTTACTCCACTGTGACAGGTATGGGGGAGGAAAGAGGATTAACTATAGTCAGAGTATTAACTTCCCCAAGACGGTGGACATGAGAACTCTGCGAGACTGATAATTGAAAATGTATATTATACCTATATGTGCCATTGGAAGTTAGCTGTGAACTAAATGCCTTTAATCTGCAGTTTGCCTCACAGCAGTCTCTTTAATGCTGATACTACAGTAAGACCATACAGACAAAGCTGTTTTTTTTGTTGTTGTTGTTGTTTATTTTTGTTTGTTTGTTTGTTTAGCAGGTTTTCATGCACAGCCCTAAGCAGGGGGAAAAGATTTTCCTGAGTTGCTGGGAAGGATGTTGAGTGGCCCATTCTCTGCACAAACTGACTCCCTCAAGACAGTGTTCAGAGATCGATGAATAGCTTCACGTTAGTGTAAAATTTTATCTGAATACTGGTGCCTAGGCAGCTCAATGTTTCTCTTATTTATTTTTACTTCAGCTTCCTTACTCAGAATAAGATGGTGTCCTACTGGGATGATTAAAACCAGTTGGCTGACTCTGAAGTCAGCACACTACATAGTATAGCACAAGATGAGATGCTCTGAAGAAGGTTTTATTGTATTATCTGTTCTGCTATTGCAGTAATTAAAACCCAACAAACCAGACCAAAAAAAAAAAAAAAATCTTCCTTTCCACAACTGTTTGTCTTGAGAAATCCAGAAAAAAATTTAAATATTGAAACACTCAAGCTATTTTTACATCTGGCTTAGAGCTGATCTGTGTCCATTTTGGTTTAGGTTCTTTTAATTGTGCTAAAATATACCCACTGTGCATGGAGTTTTGTTGTTGTTAAGGATTAAACATATAAAGGAGAAACTGTATATTGCTGAGAGGCTGTTTCTGTACTCCCCCCCCTCCCCTCCCCCCCCCCCCCAAGTGGATTAAAAGGATGATGGTGCCAGAGAAGCACAAGATTTATTGTTCAAGATTTTATCCACTTTTTTAAAAAACAAAAACAAAAAAACTCTTGTTTTGAGAATACGAAAATAGACTGTACAAGTTCATGAAGGACAGTATTTGGAATGTGTAATATCAGCTTATTAAAAATAAGCAGACTGTATTCTCCCTAGTGCTGCCTTCTAGAGTTGCAATCTGGCACCTTTTAGTGTGAAGTGGAGTGAAAACTATAACCAGCTATTCAACACCATGAATGCAAGGAGGTGAGTTGCCAAGACAGAAGCATAAGGCTGTATGATTTGTGCAACTGTTTTGATTAAGATGCCCAGTGGCTCCTTGTGAGTAAGTTTACAAAACAAGGGCCCATATGTATGGCAATGATAAAGTGGCTTATTGAGTGTCATGCCTGATACTCATGGGGAATAAATGTCTTCTAGCTTGGTGTATGATACAGAGGTTGCTCATACTTTATGAAAATACTTGTCTACACGTAGATGGCACTGATTATGTGAAAATGGCCTTGTCTGGAAGCTGATCTAGCCAGGGCACTGGAGGACTTCATGCCTTAGTTCTGCTAGTGCCAAGTGGAAATTACAATGGGGCTTTGGTCTGTGTTGAGCTCTCTACTGTTTAGCTATTTACATGCATGCTTGAAACTACCTGGTTAAGTTTGGTACCAATGTAACCTGAAGGTGCACCTGTTTATTGGTGGGCAACAGTTAGCTTGAGAGCAAAACCTGAACTTTCAATTTTGCCTGGAATGTGCTCTGGACAAAATTTGGAGATGTTTTCTCATCTCCATTTCTCTGAATGCTGTTGAAACGCTGTTGTGTTCTTGATGACAAAAATCTAGCATGAGGCTAGTATCAGTCTTCTGAATAGACAGTAATGTAGCTCTTCCATTTCAAAGGTATTTGGAATTTTCTGTGGATTAGCTTTGGTCCCACAACTGTCTATTTAAAAGATTGGTATGGTTTCTTCTCTGTACTTCTTAGCATGAGATGGTCTCATAACATAATATATTTTAACCACGACAGGAAAGGAAAAGACCACTTCTCCTAAGCCACAAGCATTTTGTACAGAGATATGTTTTGATTCAGCTCCCTTCATCCATCCCAGACTATAATTTGCTTTGCTGCAGGCTCCATAAGACTCTGCACAACATGTGTATGTTTTTGGCTGGTTATTTCAAAACAATCTTTAAAGCTTATGGAAGGCGATTCTGAATTTTAGTGGGGGGGGGAGAGAGACTTGGAAATAATCATAGTATACATATAGTTAAGGTTTCTGCTCAGAATATCAGTTGGCTAATTTCAGCAATAAAGACCCACAGAGGCTTGGAGAACAGGTATAGAGCATGGTTATTTCATTCTTTCACATCCTTTTTGGCTTATGAATTCTTCCATGAGATATCAGTAAAACAAATAAATAAATTCTGGATTGCTTTTAATGGCATCTAAAGGCATTTTAATGTGTGGACGATAGGAGTAAGGCAGTGAAGCCCCTGAAGCCCAAGGCTGCTGAGGGTGAATGCCCGACATTGCTGGCCCAGTTCCTTAGGCTGCTGCATGGACTGAGAGCCTGCAGTGACCATCTTGATGAGCAAGGCTGCTTTGGCAATCCTGGCTCCCCACCTGTCTTTCGTTCCTGTTACAAATAGGCAGTGCTGACACTTCTGCACATGAATATAGTCATCCACCTTGCCTAGCCATTGTGTATGTCTAATGGTTATTATCCATTTCCAAAATTCTTCCCTTGGTTTGAAAACAAATTTCACGCTAGTTGTGTGATGCAAGAGGAACAGCATGTGTGCTTGCCTCTGCATGTAGAGAACAGAGTGACAAGTGTCTCTCCTGCTTGTACCCAGCACATCTATCTCTGACTGTACAGAAGCAGGGTGGGAAAAGTGATTTACGCTCTAGTTTCACAGGTATAAAGAGTTAAATGTGTTAACAATCTTTATTAAAATGTGTTCAGTGTTAAAAAAGGGTAACACTTGTAAGAGTGGGTAACTTCATTATTTATAACAGCCTTAAGTCTCCTTATGCAACTAAAAAGAGTGACATGCTCTTAGTGTTAGAATGGGGCTGGAAGTGGAAGACAACTAGGAATCAAGCTTTGATCAGAAGTCAAATTTACTTATTAATTTTAGGGGGGTTTGTTGGATTTTTTTAAAGTGTCTTTTTGTTATGCATTCAAACACTTCCTTAAGGGAATGTGTGTGAGATGCCCATTGCAAAGGGTGCAGTGCACGTTTAGGAGGCAGAGGCAGCATCAGCAGTTCAACTCTATGTGAAATATTTTGGATGCTTGCCATTTTTTTTTCTCATGTATTTAATAGCTTTCTTAATGTCCTGGCTTTCTGGATTAGCAGAGAGACCTAGCAAATGGAAGCCAAAGAGCTCTGTGTGCATGCTCATGGGTGATAGGCACAAATTAGAAGGGCTGTGGGAAAGGACCCCCCTCATGTACAGCTGTTGTGCCATGTGTATGTGTTGGGGAGGGGAAAGGCAGGTGGTTTTCTGATCAATACTGTTATACTGGTCTGAGCAACCTTGTGGATGCAGTTATGGATTATGCCCCCTTCACATAATATGAATTTATGCCTCTATCCCCACAGGAGAATCGGGCTGCAGTGAATTATACTTGCACAGCTACAGTATGGTTCAAATTATGCGAGTAGAGAAGACTTATTTCCAGTTCTTAATGAAACAATAGGGACAGATCCAAAGACTGTCAAAATTAATGGCAGGATTCCTGTGGGCTGCTTTCCATTTATTCAAGAGCCACCTAAGAGGCCACTTTACCCTCTAGAAAAAAAAAAAAGTGTATATATATGTGTGTGTGTGTGTATATATATATAAAAAAAATATAAGTGTATATATATAAAATATTCTATGACTCTTGGGCTTATTTTCCCTCCCAGGGTAGTGGAGAGGACCCCTATTATTACTTTTGGGAGGTGGCTCAGGCTCTGGTATTGGATGCGAGTTCTTTGAGAATGTAATTAGGAAATACATCACTTCAGCATTTTTATTGTAAACATACATCACTGTAACACACCATTGTTATGAAATATCTGATATTCTGGAAATATAGAGAAATCTCATTTATTTTCAGAAGGAAGGCAACTTTTCTTCAAGATCACAAAAATATCTGTTGCTGCTGAAAGCATGCTTTGTGTTAACTTCTAGAGTCTGTGGGTCTAAGCCCACGTATGTGTTGGCATGAGCATTCCTTACTGTTAGATGTATGTTGTATGAAGATGGCAGCAACTTTGTGACTGATTAACAAATACTGGCAGAATTTCTGGCTTTCCTTGAGAAGAAAAGTAATTCTTCTCTCTGACAGTCCTGCAGTTTTTCAAAGACATCTGTGGAGCCTGCCTAAATGTAGTGTTTGGTGTTGCTTGTGTGCACCTTTGGGAACATCATTCTTTTGTTTTGTGCCAGTGGAAACATATATGACACTGCTGCTAGTGCAGCATATTCCATATGTTTTTCCTCCACACTATTTTCCGTTTTGAACCATTCCAGTACAAATGAAAGCATTGTTCCAGTCAGAAATCAATGTAGTTTTCCAAAGCTATAGAGGCTTGATTGTGCGAATCTCTCTATACATTTTTGGATTTAAAAGTTGTCTGATCCAAGACACTGAGTGTTTGAACCTGTGTGTTTATAGCAGATTTACTTGACTTGGTGTTTTCTTCAGTTATGTGCCACTTTTGATTTCCTGTTCTCTGCCTGTGTTTTTGCTAGGTACAGGTGTAGCTATTGTTTTGGGTTCAGTGGACATGGTTCTGCCTCATCCCTGCACTGCTGATGGGTGACCTTTCCCTGGAAAGTGGCCATTTGTCAATGTAAATGTATGTAGTGGAGTTGAGTGAGGCTTTTCTTGCTGATTTTTTAATCACATTTTTAACTGAAATATGCTATAATATGCATTTGCCCTAAATATATTTTAATGGTTTCTTTAACTCTACCTTTTACAAATTTGTTTCTATTTAAAAAAAAAAAAAAGTGGAACTCAGGTAAAACTGTGCCTTGTTTCTTCCAGCCAAATGTTTGACACCAGAGGAAGTATTTTCTGAATTTATCTTCATGAGAAATCAGTGTTCTTTCATTCTAAATCGACAGAAATGTCCAATGTCAAAATGGAATTAACACACATGTCAACTTCTAGACACTTTTCTCTGAAAGTCATTTGTCTGTTGCCATGGTGATATAACTTTAACTGAGGTAACGGTCTAGATGAGATTATGCAGAGCCCAGCATTTGAGGTAAATACTACTCTCAACATACAGGTGTTGCTATGACAATAGTAGGCTCCCACAGCTTTGAAAAGATCACTCAAATGATGCACTCCTGTCCGACCTGGAGCACAGGTGAACTTTAAGGATGGCCACAGTTCTGGAAAGGTGATGTTTCAGGCCATTCTGCAACAACTGCTGCACTACTTTCTTATCTCCTGTACGTTGTTTGTCAAGGCTGTGCTGAAGAGCTGCAGTGTCAATGCAGTGCAATTTCCAGCTACAAAAATGTGGTGTTCTGTGGTAAAGCTACAACTGGGTCACAGCTTTCTGCTGAGCAATAACCCATTACAGTGCTTAAAACTGGGTCTGTTCTATCCCAGGCTGTACCTCAGATCACTGTGGTCCTGGCTCTTGTGTGATGCCTGAGAACCAGCCTTTCTGGCATGTAGAATCATCCCCAATGCCCAGGTCTGCCTCTGTTACTGGCTCTGGGGTTTATCTTGCACCATTCTATTTGAGAAGTAAGATGAAGCCCAAAAATGAGGGAAGATGACATTATCTCTATTTTAAACTGACTCCAGGCACAACCCTCTAGGAAAGGGAAGACATCGTGGTAGTGTTCTCTAGCCAGGATATAACTACATCCTTTCTCATGCACCTTAAACTTGAAGTATCAGTTATCACTAACTGTGTAAACAGTTTGCAGGCCCTCATGCTGCCCTGTGAATGAGAAACAAGTTATGCAGTCCATCTCCCTTTCCTGCACTCATTGTTTTGCAAACATAGGAAAGTAACAGGGTATAGAACTGAGCACTAAGTGTCCAAAACACATCTTCCTCTGAGAGGTCACTTACTAAGAAGTACCACGGTGAGTTTTTATTTTTTGGAACAGAAGGAGTTCATGTACACCCCACCAGGAAGCCTCTGCACCTCGTGCTCCTCTGTGTTTTCTTCACAAATAGACTGTTCTGCTGTCCCACTGATTCCAGAAAGCAATAGGGAAAAATGCTTAAGAAACTGCCCTGTCTGAAGTGACAGTTCAGATATGAGCTGTGCTATGTACAAATGTACAGGCACCTCAAAACGCTATTTAGGTATAGCAAGAAAGGCTTGTTTATACATCAGTCTTCTGCCTACGTGCCTTTTCATCAGCCTAAGCTTTTACAGGAAGTGGTGCATAAATCATTGCTTCCTATCCATTATGAATATAATTTTTCATATTGAATTTTTCAAATTCACAGATTTCTTAAAATGTAGGCTTGGCACTAATCATTTGTAGTAGTTGTTCATTCCTTAGTGATCATATTTACTAAAGAAGTCTATTGAGAATGGGACATTCATCTTTCAAATTTAATAAGTGCACACTCTTGGGATCACATGAAAACTCTTCTGTAAGCATCCAGAGTATGTGAGTAACATGTATTTTCTTCCTGAGACCCGTGCTTTAAGGTGGGAGGAAAAACCTGTGTCAAGGCTAGGCATTATGTTCTTATTTCGCACACTTTATGAAGTACACATACACCTTTACTGAATACAGCATTTATCACTTTGTCTGGCAAGTCTGGCATTCCTTAACAGTTCCTTTGTGCTTGTAAATCACTCATGAAGTAAGTATGCATCAGGTTAAACATGACAGTTCTAAGTAGCTGTTCATTCCTTCACTTGTTATGGTCTTTAACTTCTTCAGAACAACACTACAGTGTTTAACAATAACTATAAGCCAATCTGCCAGCCAAGCACCTGAAGTTGCTAAAAATTCTGTTCTGTGCAGTGTCTTGTCTTTAGCATGGCAGCATGACTGCTGTCTGCCACTAGAAAGGAGCCATAAGACTTCTATTAGTTGAGATAATTCTGACTGTGTAAAATTTTTGTTGCCATTTATTTACAGAGTAAAATTGAGACAGTCATTTACCTGACTGCTTGTTTCTAAAGAGTATAGCACACGTCTGTACAGAACAGAGAAAATTTGAGTGCCTAAGCTTGTTGTCCTTCTGGGTTCAGCTGTTACTGAATTGCATGGGTTTGGGCCTGAACCTGAGAAAGGTGAAGCACCGATATTCAAGAGAGATGAGTTCCAAATAGAGCTGTTGATAGCAAATGAGAACACGATATAAGAATTATATGTATAGATAGACCTGAGCCTAACCTTAAAGACTGTTACAGAGGGGGCAGACTTAAACTGCTGGAAACCTGGAGAAAGAAAAAATTGTTAGAATTTCAAGTTTTTCAGTTTTGTAGGTTGCTTATTTCCAATTCAGATTAATTCCAGATCCACAATCTTGCAAGGAAACAACAAAAACTGTTGTAATTGGAGTCAGACAATCAGCAGTGAGGAGCTGATGGAATCTCTGAACTACCATGATCTGTTACAGGCAACACAGCGTGAGTCAATAAGGAATGCAGGTCTCGAACTCGTTGTCTCCTTGAGGATCACCCTTAACCTCTCCTTGTGCACACCCTTAACCATTGGAGACAGCTCTGTAGAAACTGCCTCCCAAAAATGACACTTTCTTTTGCCTGGAAACATAACTCTTCTTGCATGGGTTTAATTCTGGCCAACAGTTTCTGTGCTGTGTGATGAGCTCAACCTGGCACCCATGGGTAATGGTGATTAAACTGTGACCCAAGTTACAGAAGAATTCCAGTAATAGCCTTGAATCACTATTCAACCTCTTCTACATTTTCCACAGTAAGAGCTAAAAGGTTAGAAAACCAAGAATCGGCTGAGGCTTCATTCCATGGCTCTTTGTGAAGCTGATTCAGAGTACGGTGGGGATACAAATGACAATTTCCTCCTCCTGACAAGAGAGTAATATCGTCCATGATACTCAGCTTTTATATCTCAATGGCCTAGGTGTAGTTTGTCATAGACAGCAGAACAGCCTTAAACTGTCATTTTAATTCTTTTGGTGGCCATCATTATCATCACCCTTGGCAGTTTGTTCCAGTGATTAACTACTCTTCTGGTTGCCCAGATTCTAGTCTAAATTTGGATGGCATCCCTGCTGCTGCAGAGATGAAGCCAGTCCTAGGAGCAAGTCTCTGCGACCTTCACTCATGTTGACTCATATTTTATAATACCTAGGAATGACTCGGGAAAAGTCATTAGAAACAAGTCTGGCTGTATATTCACAATAATCTACATAAGAGATTTGGTTTCTGGCATTCTCTATGTCATGGAAGAGTGAAGGAAGTACTAGCTGTCATTAAAATAAAAAACTTGTTTATCAATTGCTGCAGTTTAAAATAAGTCTCTGGATGTTGAAAATAGGTCCCTGCTTACTTGGACTTTGCCTGGGATTGCAGAGGACCAGCAGCTTTCCCTGTGCTGTTTTGTTGGGAATTACACCCACAGAGGAGGAAGCAAAAAGCAAGAGGTAATTCTGCCTTTACTAGGTTAGCTCCTTGATGGTGATTTTCATACTGATATTATTCCATGACATTGCTTCCCTTATTCGTGGTCATAACACCAACATCCAGTAAAATAGTTGTATTTTTTTATGATAATGAATCCCCTGCAATTTATGAGACTTACAGGCTGAACCTCTGGTACAACTCACAAATTCTGCTTAATAAAAAACTTGCTTTACTAGCAGCCAAACAGCAGTAGGTTCATCAAAGAATAACTTTTTTTCTTCTCAGATTTACTGTAACCACATAGGCAGAAAGATGGTTTCAGGGTCTCACAGTACTGTCTTGAACAAATTATGGATCTTTCCCTACTTCATAGGAAAAGAGTATGGTGTTTGGTCCACCACCATGGACCAAAAACTGCTTTAACTAGATCTAAAGTTTGATACATTTGCCAGCAAACAAGGCATCTGTGTGAATGAACTGTGGAATTTGTGTATTGATTCCACTGGCTAAGTGGAAAAGAGTTTTGCAATGCCTCTTCATTTTTGAATGATTTAAGATAACTAAGATAAGTACTCTCCAGGTAATGTTTGTTAATATTGGAAAGAGTTTCTGAAAGACTTCAGGGTAAAATATAAATTTATATTTTCTTTAACAGGTGTTTTCCTCAGCTGTAGGGAAAACATACTGAGTAAAAATTAAAAAGGTAACTAAATTTTATGGTTAGTAAAACTCATTATACAATTCAGAAAAATAAAGGGTTTATCTGGAAACTCTTCATATAAGACTTAATGTCATTTGTGTCATGTGAAATTTGTTTTCTGAGGAAGAAAAAAACTTTATGGAATTATAAAGAATTTACTCTCACTTTAACATTTTGTTAACATAATACTAAGATTTACAGGAGACTAAAAGTTAAAGATGGCTTCTGTTTATAAAATGCCCGTAGGTATACATCAAAAAAAGTGGAGAAACTAGTGTTTGGAGTTTAGTCAGTAACTGCATATTTAAGATTAATATGGTATGTGTGTATATAGAAAAAATAAATATGGAGAATGAAAATATTAGCACATCATATGTAAAGGCATTTTTGAATCACACTGACCTATTAACAATGGATTTTGTTACTTCAGAATTAGTTTTGATTACATCATTGCTGAGAGTTACAGAAGCCAGAAGTTGTGGAAACTTTTATGAAAAACAGATATATGAGTAGTTCTGTAATGTCACCAAATCACATGTCAAGGAAGTTAGACTCAGAACAATAGCATAGTATATAGTGCCATTGTATGCCAGGATCCTCTTGAAAAAAATCTAATTCACCATAATTTGATCTATAATTTCTTGATATACAATGGGAATTCTGTATGTGTTATTCATCTAAGTTTTATATGAACTATTCTTAAATTATCTTACTTTCAACAATATTAACTTTTAGAAAGTTTTAAGATAAATTTCAATATTCATGTATCTGTCTAATCTACTCTGTTCAGAACTATTAAAATAGCACATATGTTTACTCAATTGAGGCACTTCAAGAAATTTGCATTTTGCATTCTTGTAGTGTTCAAGAGGCCCTTTCTTTTTTCTTTAACTAGTTGGCTCACATCATGCAATGATTTTGTTTTTGAACATCTTCAGAAATCACAGGAGATTCCCAGAGTACAAGAGTTTCTTATTAACATCTCTTATCTTCTTGCCAGATCTGGACATCAGCAGTGAAACTTCCCAATAATCTAATGCAACAAATAGGAGCTGTGGATTGGAATGACTCTCAGAGTAGAAAAAAATATTGTTCCTTTTTCCCCCCCCCCCACATATAGTGTAAGTGAACTGATCTTACAGATTCCTGCAATTATTTTCTCATTCATAATTTCCAAGGGATTATTCAGTTCTCTTTTATACTTATTACCTCTTCAATCACCTGCTTAAAAATACAGTAGGCTCAGTAACACATTTAGTTAAAATTATTCATACCAGAAGACAAGTTGGAAAACAAGAATTTGTAGTGGGTTCTTTTCTGCTTATGAGGATTTGGGACTGGTAGATATGGATGCTTGTGAGACTCAGAATAAGCCATTTCATGTTACCAGATGTGTTAAAATAACAATCTCAAAAATGTTTATTTAAGAATCAAAGTTAGCTCATTATTTTGGGTTTTCTTTCGTAAGTAGGACTTTAAGCAAGCAAGTCTGCTTATTTTGACTGAAGTATCCAACTTTCCTCTCTGTGAGAGAATGGAGCGTAATAATGCTGCAGCAATGCTAAGCAAGGTCACCAAAATGCTTTCAGAGGGACTTTGCTATGTAGAATATTTTGGAATATGGGTTGAGCCAATATTTACTTTAAACTTTAAAAGTGCCTTTCCTCAACCAGATACTTACACAGATAATTATAAATATAGTAAAAATATAGATAATGACAAAGCCTTTCAGACTAAGCCAGATTCCAAAATGTAAGTAACTAGCAAGAATATGAATTTCTTCCAGCAGTTGTGTGACTTGCCCAGTTTCCATGCAATTTTCCCCTTACCAAAAGTAACATTAGGTAACAATGTTCGGCAGGGTTTCTTGAAAGTTAACATGTTCTATGTGAGCCTGGGAAGGACATGAGTGGTGGGTTACTTTGAATGGAAATAGCGCTGCCACCAGTTCCTGCTCTGCTACTAATAACATGAGCAGTTCTGCTGGTTTGAACTGTAGCAGTAACTGAAAGGTAGTTTCACAGATTACTAAGGTTTAGACCACACAGGTCAAGGAAAGCAGAACCAACCAATGTTCAGAGTATGTTTTTGTACCCTGGAGTAGCTGCCTATTTCATCCCAGCCTTCCTGTGTTTAGGGTAGAAAAGAGTTACTCAGCTGTAATGCAAAGCATCTATCCTAGGAGGTTACTTCTCGCTATTGTATTGGAGAGAGCATGTGCTCAGGTAACAAAGCTAGGTGCAATGGCAGTCTTCAGAATGAAGCATCAACTCTGGTGTAAATTACTTGATGCAAATCATATGAAACATATCCTTCACCACTGACATTTTCCCCCAGTCTCCATGAAGACTGGGAGATACTTTTAACAACAAATCTTATAGAGAGGGAAGAACATGAATGAAAATGCACAACTTTAATCCAAGATATTTTTGCTTAATAAGAGATATTCCCTGTTCTTGGGATGAAGTCAAGATCATGTTGATGATAAACCAATTCTGGCAATGTCTGTTTTCCATAATTTTGAAGTTATAGTGAAGGACTAACTTTATTTCATGAAAGAAAAATAGTAAAATTACGTTTGGTTCCACTGAAGCCAATGGCACTGCCCCTGATGGAGTGAGTAAACTCCACTGACATCAGAACAACCATGTTTTGCCCAAACTGTGACCAAGGGGATCCCATGCAATGAACCAGAGGATGAACATATATGTCACTGTAGTATGTCTTAGATTGCAAGTGAATAATAAAAACTGTTTAAGATGGATAAGCTGTGGGTGAACTGTGAAAGCTCTCAGATGTAGAAACACTGAAATCATAGAAAGTCTATCACTGATTTCCTCAGTCAGTTGACTTGGTACACTTTGTTGCTATTCAGCAATAATGCATAGCAAAAAATGTCCTTTATGATTGTGGGCTGAATGAAATGAAGTTGTGCATTATAGGTGGTCTCTTCAGTTTGGATTTCTTCCTTCTTAGTAAGTGTTCAGCTGTCCTCCACTTTCTCAACCAGACAAGCTGTTAAGATTTCTCTTTATCACTGCACTTGGAGTAGGCATCATTTTGGACAAGGATGAGTGTACAATGTAAGTCATTTTCGTTAAAGATGGTGGTTTACTGATGCTTGTCCCTGGGGTAAGAATACAGGAATTAGTTATGCAGAAAATTGGTTAACAGGCTGAATTCAGGTGAAAAGGTAAAGCTAAAATGAGACTTTCCTTTATAAACCAGGGTACAACTAAAACATGAGACAAAATGTCATCAGTTTTTGCAAAAGTTCTTCCAAATGACAAATCAGTCAGTTTGAGCTGTGAAGTCTAGAGGAAAGCCAAGGCTTTGCAAAATTATCATTTACCTCTTCAAATTTGTCACACCATCACCATCTATAGCAATGTGGCATGTTCATGCCTGCAGAAAGCTGTTGAGGGCAGGTTGTCTGTTTCGTAGTTTTTCAATATTAACTCAGTGTTAAGCACCTTCACAGAATTTATTTTTCTTTATTCATTCTGTGCATGAAAGTGGGACTTTTTATTGAGGTGGAAGGAAGAGATCAAAACAGAAGAATGGGAAGGGCTTCCTTAACTACATTGGGAAGATGAATTGGTAAATAGGGAGAAAAAAAATATCCCCTAAGAAAAGGGATAGAAAGGCTTTCTTTTTCAAACAGTGAGGTCATTCTTGTGTTGTGAGCCTATGCCTACTTGAAGACATGCACCTTCTTTTTCCATAAGGTCTAAGAGAAATTAAAACTAACTCTAATCTAATTCTCGCTATTCTTCAGCCGTGATCTATGAAATCAAAAATTTTCAATCAGCTCAAAGCATGAGTTCAGCATTCAGGAGAAGGCACCTGCCAAAATTGAACCCTTAAAAAAGAAAAAGGGGGAGAGAAGGGGAGGTGATTTATTCCAGCTCAATAAAGAATTTGACTGTATATAACAGCTGGACAACCTATTATTTTTTACATGTGGACAGCCTCAGAAATGTCCAGGAGTAATGATGCAGCTTAGGCAAGCAATGAGTATGAGAAATTCTACCCAGAACAGTAAAGTAAGAGGGGAAGCTACAAGTCTTTTTAAATGAGGTTTAGCATGAAAATACTGTCACAAATAGCTACCACATGGCAGCAGTGATAAACTAATGCTAGGGGACAGCAGTTATGAACATCACAATAACCTCTGACAGGTGCCAAATGAAATTTCTAAATCAACATCTACCTTCAGAGTCTGTGTATTCCCAGAAGAAATATTCCCTCTGTCTCCTGCTCCATCTTCTACCTGCCAACAGCTGTGAAGGCTGGCAAGCTGCCTAGAAGGTTCTGCAAATTTTAAATTAAAGGGCAGTGTTAATTTGGGAAGCCTTCTTCCTACCTCTTGCAGGTTGAGAGCATGCCATAATTTTGACTCATCCATGCTCTTCCTGGGAAGAGATCCTCTTTCAAAACTTTCCAAACATATATGTACTGAGATATACCTGATTTTCCAGGGTTGATTTTTTTTGTTGTTGTTTTTTTTTGTTTTGTTTTGTTTCCTGGGTTAACTTTTCAGGGCGGTCTCTGATCAGATGCTGACACCATGGCACTCACAAATGTATCAAACTTTGATCTTTATGTTGTTATTTTTCAGACATGAGAGTCCATTAACAGTATTGGTACAAAATAGTTTTACAAAGGCAGGGATAACCATACTCTCATTTTGAAGAATGTCTGGACACAGAAGATGCAGCCAGGGTAGGAATGACAGTCTTCAGTGAGCAAGAAGTCCTCTGGGCATAATTTAGACAGCCTTGACACTATTCTAACCTATAGTATAGGGAGATAAAATGTCTTCCAGCTGCCTGCTGGATCTGGAAGCAAGAAACATCAGCAGTCTTTCCCTGTGAGGCCCTGCAGAAACTATGTGCAGTAGCAGAGAGAGCTGCTTAATTTTAAAGGAACAAAGCCTAGGCATTTTTTAGAAAGGTTTCAGAAATTAATTGCTTAGGTTTTGAGGTTCAGAAGAGAGCAAGGCATGGAAACCCTTTGAAAAAAGGAAAAGGGATAGCATGGGCCTTAGTTTAGTTTTCCAAAATTTCATCATCTGCCAGGGAGGTCTATGCAGGATTGCAGACCCAAGGGAACAACAAACCCAGTTGGCTTAAACTGGCTTTCCTGCCAGCTCTCTAAGACAAGTGGGAAGTCCAAGGTTTGTAATCTCCTTTTAAGTATTCTCTGGACTTAAGTTGCATAGAGTTTGTTTGCTTGTTCCCTTCCCCCCCACACCTCCCAGCCATTTAACAGGAAAACCGAGGATAAAATGTTAAGTCTCTCCTCTCTTATTAAAATACCCCAAAACAAGTACAGAACAGAGAAGAGAGAAATAACCCCAGTGACCACTAGCCAAAACTCACAAGTAGTATGTGCATATCTGAAATAGTTGGTGCGCTCGCATAGGAAATCGCTGGATATTTTACACCTCTTGCAGCGGTTTAGTAACTGGCTGTGGAAGCTCATTCCCCACTTGAGAAAGTCATGAATTATACAGTTTTTACATCTGTTGAGCATGTTGTGCTTCTCAATCATCCAACTATACCGAGCCCTAAGTTTTCAGCCTTCACAATGAGATCACTGTTTTCAAGCACGTTCTAGTGGCATTTTGTCAAGCCATGTGTGTTTTCAGGATGGGGGCAGGGAGGGAGGAACAAAACTATGCTGCCATTTCACAGGATTACAATCTACTTTTCAGCCTACATAAAACTGCAACTGACCCATCAACAAAAAATATTCTTTGTTTACTATTTCTTCTACCCCTTGAAATAGTCTGACTGTTGTTTGGAAGAAGAGGATGAAAAGGAGGATTTTTTTTTTTTTTTTTTGCTTTAGATTTCAATTCCTGGTTATCTAAAAACAAACAACAACAACCAACCACCCAGCACCCAAAACCAAAAGACTATAACAATGACAAACAATAAAACAAATAAGACAAACCCACAAAACTCCACTCATCCTTAATACTCTCAAGATATATGTCACTGTGTGAAAACTCATTTTTGCTCCAGTTTCATGGTGTTTAGAGTAAATTTCAGCTATTAAACAAGGGTTGATCATGAAAACACTATCGTAGAGAAGGGAGACAGTATTTCGATTTTACTCAGACACTGGCTTAAGGAAACTACTTATGCTAATCAAGTTTTAAATCAAAGCACTCAAGGTTTATAATAGCAGGAGGTAGATTCCAAAGGACTAAGCACACAACCTGGGAAGAGATGAAGTGGAAAGAACTTTGTAGAAATTATCCATTAGCATTTTACTGCAGAAAAAACAAATGGGAGTTATATATTTATCTTAAGTTACTCAGGACCCAGTGAGATCCCTCCAGCCTGAACAGTTCCCAAACAGATGCTAATCTCCTTCACAGAATGAGTTTGATCATTGCCCTATTAAGGTGTTTTTTTCTTTCATCATTCAAAAAGTAGTCTGCTATAGTAACTCTTCCACTGGCCAAAATTCAGATGTAAAGAATGCATACACATGATGAATGTTGACTACTAAAATGCATATAGACAAATTAAGGTTTTATACATCTCTTGTACTTGCTTTTTGGTTTTGAACTCAGCTTGTATAGCTTACATTATTTGAAGAAGAGGAATGGGCATTCCCATATAAACTCATAACAAGCATGGCACTGTGAAAAGGCACTGAAAATCACAGCTTCCTGGAAGATATGCCAGACTAGCAGCTGGATCAAAAATCTTTGTTCTTTCTGAGAAACTCAGCATGTGAAGAATATTCCTCTAAGGACAAAGCTCTTCTAAAGCACTTAGGCTATCAATACTTAATTCAGGTAGTCTAAGTGGTTGTAAATCACAAGTGTTCCCTGTCTGGTGGGCAGGCATGGCCAGCTGGGCTCGGCTGGGCTGTGGGTATGTGAAGAGAGAAAAGTGATACCTCACTCTCCTGCCTGTTGGGACAGACGTGGCACCTGGCTGTAGCATCTGCTTTCTCTGCTGCCCAGGGGAATAGACACAGAAGAGAAGGAAGTAGGCCAAACCAGAGCTGAGGACAACTCTAGCTTGATGAACTATGATGCTATAGTGATATGATATTCTGAGATGAGCAGTGTGAGCAATGGCAGTGTGCTGGCTGCTTCTGGCTGGTCTCTGAGCCTTCTCTGGAGTACCCAGTTTTCTTTATTAAGCCTAGGATTAGCCACACTGTCTATGGACTGGGGAAACTGAACCACTGGCTTTTAGTTCATGTCTATATTATGCGTTACTTAACACCCCCCCCCCCCCCCCCCCCCAGGCTTCAGTAGTCTATTCTAGCTAAGCTCAGCAATACCTCAGTGAAATTTTGAGAGGATAAATCACAAGTTGTCTTTACAACATGGATGTGATTTGATTACAACATGGTGGTAATCAACAGTGCACAGGGGCCACTGTGTTTTATTACCAACTGCTAGGGGCTTGGGACTGTGTAGCTCCAACACAGCCACCACGTGGGGTTTGTTCTAACAGGGTACTATGATATCCATAGGGTGGGTGCTTATAATCATGCTATTGATCTATGGGGTTTCAAACTATCTCTGCCTACATGGCAACAGAGCCCATGTATCTCCTTCAAATGTTCTGGATTGTTACCAAATGTTCATGAATTGTTACCACCCAATAGTATAATTGTCTAAGTAAGAGCTAGGCTCAGGTGTAGGAAAAACCCCTCTTTAGGGACAATATTGTGGTAAAAGTTAATAAAAATACTTGCTTACTTGTGGGTAGGTGAAAGTTGCATGTTTATATTTAAGTTAAGTAAAGAATCCCATGCCACATAGGAAACAAGGCTGAGGTCTCTCCTGGTTCCAGCTGTTACAGCAACTGTCATCAGCGTGGTTCATATTTTCTCTCTTCCCTTTCCATTCTCCCCACCAAAAAATAAATAAATAAATATATATATATATATATATATAAAAGTAATAACTTCTTGGACCTTGACAACAGTGACTTGTAGGTAAGTTTTGTCTATGTAAGCTCACTATTTCATTCTTATGAAACCTTTACACCTGTGGGTGTCTCTGCTTTTTCCAATTAGATCATAACACTTGGTGTTTACATTATGCTTATGGACGTTACCCTATCTTTAGTATGATTTCTTTATCCCATTGCAAAACATCCCACATAACCAGTTTTGTCAGGATACAGAAATTCTATTAAAAAATAAGGAAAAAAAGTCTGTGATTACTCTTCTACTTGGCACATAACTGAATATAATCTGATGTGTAAAAATAAAAGCTGGCTGAGAAAGAAATCTGAAAGAGAATGAAGAACCTCAAAGTTGTTTGCTGTGTATAGCTAAGCTGCATTTTGATTTTATAGTATTTAAGCTGAGCTCTGTCATTATAAGAGTTAAGAAAAAGGTTGAAGACTTGAGAGGGGGGAGCCTACAGGCTAATATTAGCAGCACTGTTTTGTTTCAGGACACTGTCACAAAGAGGATGAGAAGCTGAAACATCTTTGGTATTACCACTTGCATGTTAAATGGGATTCCCCCCTTGAAGATATTTTTGCGTTGTCAGAGGAAGGAAACGGCAGCTGTGAAGTTGCGCTCTTCTCATGCAGACCGCAGAGCCCACCCCACCCCCCTGGAAATTCATGCCAGATGCAGGAAAGAATGAGCAAGGGTTTCAAAGTGGACACTCAGCATATGGAAAGGAATCATTTAGCAACTAGAAAGTCTTGGATAATTTCAACAAGTCTCAGCACTAAAGCAGCACTTCAAGAAAATCTGCTCTGGGGCTCTCAGTAGTGTAAAATAAAGATCTGTATGTCTTTTCATCTTCATGGAAACCAAGTTTAAAACTGGCCTGCTGAAAGCTCTTTTTTAATATGTTGTCTGCATGCTTGTTGTGAAGTAATAGTAGTAAATGCTAGGTTTTGAAGAACAGTAAACTTGAGGTAACAAGGTGCCTATGAGAAAGCAAAGGTTTTGACCAGCTAAAATGAGACAGCCAGGCCCTTTCTAGCTCTCTGCCTCCAGAAGATACGTAGACTCCTTGGCCCAAAGCCATAGCTATTGTAACTGGAGTTGATTAGAAAATGGTAAGCATTTTCCATAAAACAGACAAACTCAAGAAATGTTTTGTTTAAAAATATTAACAGAAACGTTCAACTAAAACAGCTGAACACCCAGAAGTCCAATTTTATTTTCCAATTTTTTTGAAATGTTTTGATAAAATCTTGGCTTTCAGAAACACAGATGAAATATTTTTGGGATCACTTAGCCATAGACAAAAGAATAACTTGAACAAAACACAAAGTCTCCAAAAGTATCCATTTCAGGAGAGGCCTTTCTGAAAAATGTTCTGATTGAAAAAATGTGACCTTCGAAGTTTATTGGGCTAAGTAAAGAAGTTAATACAGGACATCTTGGCTCTGCCATGAGCACTCCTAACAAATTGCTTTGTTCTGTCCCCCACTTGGGAGTGTAACCACCCAGTGAATGTAGCTTTTGGTGTGCTGCAGAGCCAGAAGTAGATATGCTTTAAGCTCAAGAGAAAGAACTGAGTCAGGTGTGTAAGGAGCAGAAGAAAGAACAAGGTTAGATCTGCCAAGAAAGAAGATTCTTCTTCAGTTCAGAAGTAAATTACAGGTAGAAGGGAGAGAGAGAAAACAAGGTCACGTGTTTAAAGGAAAACGTGTGCTTGCTGGTCTCTGCGCTTCAGTAATAGACTTGTGTTCTTTGGTCCTTCACCACAGCCATCTTTTTAGTGCCCTAATTTCTTGACTCACTAACTGATAAACAATTTTAATGACATGGTACTAGGGATATTTTCTGAAGAGCTTTTCACATTTTCTGTCTTCCAGTGTTGTATTAAATTGCAGTTATTTAGGCACAGCTGCTGCCTTCTCCAAGCATGCTTATGGTGTCAAGGTAGGCTGTATGTTCAAATCTGAAGGTCGGGTCACGGAGCTCTTGCCATCGGTAATGCAGTTGTTTTTCTCTTGTACAATGTGCAGCTTATTCTTCTTCATGAACAATAGATTGAAGATATATCCTTATTTCAATTTACGTCAGCACTGGATATAAGTGGAAATATTACATCTCATTGTAAATGGGGACATTTATTCTTATATTTTGTGTCTGCGTATCATGGATATGCTTAATATCTGTGCTGCACACAATATAGAAAATTATATTAGGAATACCTACCTTCTTGGTTTTCCCAGCTGGAAGCAATAAATCTTTTTCTATAAACCATACCCAGGCATTCCTGGGCACTCAGAATCAGGAGGGTGCTGCATCTCTCTGTTCACACAATGGGCCTGGTAGAAAAGTTCAGTTTTGCCTTCTTAATTCAGCAAGAAAAAGGACTGCCTTCTTGCAAACCATCCATGCTAAACTGCATATTAGAAACTTTTGCTCAAACAGTTCATAACAGATTCCAAATACACTCCTCAGCAAACGCTCACTTTGGTGCTGTAGCCTGCTGAGGATTATACTTCCAAGTCATTTAAACATAAGCTTAAATAAAGATATTCTTTATATAAAGATATTATTTTAGTCTGATATCGAGACTTCCAGGACGTTATCATAATGATAGGAAATTATATGCAGTCTGGGAAAACCATGATTATCATCCTTGATTAGAAAACATATTTAAATGCATTAATGGACACAACATTCAAACTAGTCTGCTAAGTCATATTCATCTGTCAGTTGTTATAGATTCTCTCTAATTTGGGTTGTATTTGGTACAAAACTTTTCAGCACCTTCTGGGAGGTGGGTCATTCCTTCTTTTCATTTGGAAAGGTTTAATTCTATGATAGTCTGGGGAAAAGCAAGTAGCACTGGTAATTTACTGTTATGCAAGCAGTGTATTTCTCAAAGGCTGAACTTTAAGGACATCACATGCATGATTCTGTTTCTGGCAGTATCGTCTTTGAGTTCAGACTGTTCCTTTCAAGTTTTATTTCGTCCACGTCTTTTGAAATTCCCACTTTGTTATCTTAGAGTCATAAATGTGATGCAATAGTGAATTAAGGGATACAAAGTAATTATTATTATTATTACTTTTTAAATGAAGGATTTTCAGCCAGCAATATCTTGACATTGGAAGTAGACCTAAAAAATCTCTTTCAGATAATGGAAATAGTGAAGTAACATAACAATGCAGTTTTTTCTTGTCTTGAAATTATATTTTATTAGGTCTTGTCTACTTCATCTTCAGATTTGGAGGACAATGTAGTAATGATATTAAAGATAGGTGACGTCTAGGAATAAAGAGTGCATTTTGACCAATGAAATCTAAATATAGATGATTCCATTTAAAAAGCAAACAAACAAAAAAGAAACAAGGAATCCTACTGTTTCTCTTTTTTTTAGTTCTTTTAGATTCTCTTGACTTTTTTTTTTTTTTTTTTTTTTCCTTAGTGGTTTTCAGCTCAAAAACTTAATACCTTTTGCAGAAAGAAAACCCAAAAGTATTACAATAGCAAAAACACCATGTCCTTTATAATGGAACACCTATTCAGGATATCAGAGGGTTAGATGAGCTTTTCATAAGAGTACAACAGTAAAAGGCAAACCGTGCTTATCATTTATAGTAACACCTCCTAGATAAATTACAAATATGGGTAGTGCTGATATTGTATTGCATTTCAGTCACTTCTACCAAATATATAGGAAAAGATGTTAAGCATGCTCATGATCTGGATTAGATCAGGAAGGTCGTCTAAAGACATATTTAGATCTGAGAAGAGCTACAATTTAGTAAATTCACTTTAATCTGACCTGTGATACAGTAACAGCTTTAGAAAGAATGTCATTTGACGGACTTCTTAATGCTGCTGCTCAGAAAATGAAGTTCTTTGGGGTTTCTTTTTCTTGCTGAGAGGAGTGTCCACCATCTTTTTATCAGATGGCTTCAAAGAAAAACTGTTGCAAACTGAAGTCTGTTGGAATAGACTATTTCTATTAAAATTATAAATTCATAGAAAGACTATCAGTTCCATAATTTTCCTTTTCTGCCTTCAAAATAAGGAGAAAATCACAGTAACACAACATGACCAAAGCAATTATCTAGGAAGGAAAAAGCTTCTGTAGAAAATGTTTACCCACATTACTTTTAATATGAAATTGTATGGAATCATGGTGAGGATGGAGGAGAGACATTGATTTCAGCAGACTTTACCCTTGCATTGGCCTGTAGTGGGAAGACATTTGCCATGTAGTGGAAAGTCTGAACTGAAAGGTCTTCTGTGTGGTACAACAAAACCAAGAAAAACATATTTTGATAAGAACAAATGAAAGCAATAACCCAAAACAAACTATAAGGATCCTTTCAGTTATTGAGGTAAGAAAGCTGAGTGGCATAATCTATTTGGGGATTTTAGCTAATTTATGCATAATTTCTCCCCTCTATACCTCCTCCAAGTCTCTGTGTTCAAGATGCTTGAAAATATGAAGAATCAGGCCAGGTGGAAATCAGATCATTTCTTCACACAGACTACAGAGTTAATCCTTTGTGTAACTCCTTTGTATATTAGAAAATTAATCTTCAGCTGGTGAACTGAGCTATCACCATAATCCCTTCATGGCACAGGAATTGTCCAGATGGAGCTGTGTAGGGGCCAAGATCTTGGCATTAACTAGTTCTAACTTAAGATTTTTCCAGCATTCCTGGTTCTGCATCTGTATGAATGTCTCAGGTATAATTTCTGTGTGAGGTCTAGTGCTCACATCTTTCACTATTAGAACCGCACTTAGCTGCATTAGCTGCAGTGTGACATAAACATGAATTAGAGAGCTACTATGAATAGGGCCCTTTTCAAGAATAAGGGCCTTCCATTAACATTCAGAACAGGCTTCCTAACTGACCTCTGTAATCATTCTCTTAGCGCAAGTAGATAGCTTTGTAAAATTGCCGAAGTCATGGATAGCTTGAGGTTTTGTCACCTACTATTCTGTTAAATCAGTCATGAAAGTAAAACTGAAGTTCTGTATCCAGATCTGTGGGAAATTTGGGGTAAAAACCAAATCAAGCTTACTTGGATTTGAGCTTTCTTTTCTTTCTATTCTTTTGGACTCACACATGTTCTCACGTATGCCATATGAGTACTGAAAGCAGAGCCAAAAATTAAAGTGGTAGTTATTCTGCCATTTTTTTCTGCCAAAATTAAAACTGTTCAGTCATACACATGCTTACACAAGATGTTACTGCTTTTACTTTAGCCCCAATTGTAGAAATACCTTATCTCTGATAGACAGTGCATCCCTTAAGGTATTGAATCTAAGGCTTGCCTACCAGTATCAGTCAACAAAAAGTTTTAGGTTAGATCTATGAATTAGATGATGCAAATCTATATCCTCTGTTATTCAAAGCAGGTGATGAATTGCTGCCATTTTTCCTTTCTGACTTAAGAAGCAGTGAATCTGTGAACAGTAATAATATTAAGTATTTAATCTGGCTTCAGTTGCACTTCTAACATTTGCTGCAAGCAAACTTGTTTATACTTAGGCTATAGAAGTGTCACTCTGTGCCTTTTCCATAAGAGCTGTATACATCTGCATAACTAAAAGCTGACATTCTGTTGTTAGAAACAAAACATCTTAAATCTGCTGGTTTACTCTTCAGAGACATTTTATTTGTAATCACACTGATAGCTCTTCTGATGAAGACTCCTTCATTGGAAGCAAGGGGACATCAGTACCTCTCAGAGTGCACTGATACCCTCTCTGTTTAAGTCCTAAGTGATATTTACTGAAGAATGTCATAGATCTACCCATTACCCAAAGCCCACAGAGGCTACCAGAGGATTTCCATAGGTTTCAACAGGCTTAGGTCAAGCCTAAGAAGATTTTGGTCTTAAAAATGTTAATACCAGTAAGAACTGTAATGTACCACCCAGCCAGTCTTCAGCTGGCTATTGCAATATCATTTTCAGATAACTGTTGGTGAGCAATGAGAAGCACATAGCTGTTGCCTGCTTCTTGGACCAACGTCCCAAGCCACAGTTAGACAATTTTCTGAAGTACACGGAAAAGATATGCTTCTTAACACCCTTGTTGACTGCACTGTAACTTATGTGTTAATTAGACATCAGATAGTTTGCTGTTTGCTACTACTGTATTCATCTGTCAACAATATCTCCGCAACAACATCTGCATCTACCCATAGGAGAGAGAGAGAGAGAAGGAAGGAAAAACAAAACACAACACAAAAAGCAACAACAACAAAAAAAACAACACCCCAAAACAGTACTACTTTTTCTAAGACTGATTTTACTGGGGGGTAAAACTTGATAATCAATAACAACAGAAAACATTGGGTGGGGGAAAGGCATGACGCATATCCTGAGAGGAATAATAAAATATACCCAGTTTATATGGTTAATCTTCTCTGTAGGCTTGCTCTGCAAATTTAGGGAAGATTAAATTTCAGATATGCTGTTTCTTGTTTTTTCTGGCAACAATAAACTTCAGTTTGGGGGAGGTGGGGGAGGGAGAGGCTGAGTGGGGAGAAAGAGCCACAGTAAAGTGTCTGCTGTCCATGTAGTTTTGCCAGACTGCTGTCTCAATTGAGAGCTGTGATCGAGATTTATTGGGCTTAAAATATGAAACAGACCTTTCATGTTGGAATTCTAAATATCTTCTTAAGCAGTAGTGAGTACCACCAAATGCTTAAAGGCAACACACCACAGTTCAAACCCACACAATAGTTTCTTCTCTCTTGTGAACCAGCAGATTGTAAGAATCTTGTTCCATCTCATTTTTTGGACTGGGGAAAGAATATGTTGGATGTTATCATCATCATCTGAAAATCACTTTGTTTTTTATATTGGATTTTGGCTCAGATGGTCAAGATTGCTAGTATTTGAACATGTGCATTGAATGGGCAGGTTTATCACTGAAGTTAATAAAAAAAATGCTTGAATGCATGCAAGATGTTTGCATGTTGGTAGCACATTTTATTAATCTCTTAGTTATGTAGTGGCAGCAGGAACAGCTTGGAAAAGATCTATAGGACTTATTTCATGCCATTTTGCCAGCCTCCTGTTCCTCTGTTATGCCAACAGCTATGTTCTACAGGAAAAATAAAGGTTTCTGCCTGACAAATAAAATCAGAGTCAAAGTTTCTGTGTGGGCCTTGGAGGTTAAAGACAAAAATGCAAAACCTGCCTCTTCTCTCTGCTCTTCTATCACTATGTTTTAAAAGTATATGCTGAACTCATCTTCTCCTTCAGCTTAAGGTGTGCAGCAATGAAAATACGTTGGGACTGTTAGGCTGTGTGTCATCATTTATGTTGAACTCTGACCAGGCTAGAGTTCTGGTAACAGTTACATTAAACTTGCAGTATCAAATCAGTGGATTTCGTTAGGGTGGATTTTAATTATTGCATAGAGTTTAAACTGGCAATTGAAGTGCTGATGATTGTTTCTTAGTGGCTTATCTGAAATAAGTACTTCAGCAGTACTTCTAAAAGTATGTGAACTGAGTAACATATTGAGTGACCTTTGCACGTGTACTGGCTTTATTTTCACCAGCTGTGCCAGTGTCACAGGGTAGATAAGAAAACATGAGAGAGCAGGTGTTACCAGTCACAGTATTTTCTTCATATTTTATTTTCTTTTGCGAAGAACAAAGCAGAAAAGTCTCTTTCTCTGCTGATGTGTACTTAATGTCTGATATGTAAGATTCATCATCTGAGTTGAATTTATTTTCTGATGATGCTGTATTTCAGCTATGTTTGTGTGACATTTACATCCCTTTTAAATGCCAGGTACACTACACATTCTTCAGATCTGCAGCCTAGGAAACTAGACTATGTCTTGTTTGTTTCTGTAGACTAACATGGATGTAAAATTTCATGACATGTGGCTTTGTCACATGTAATTCTGTTATTAGTTCCTGAAGTAAACAATATTGACATGTATCCTTGCGTTTAAAAATGTACCAGGAAGATCATGGATATGTTATTCAGGACATTCTCATCTTGAGCTTGAATGCATGCAATACAAGGACAATTCAGAAGTGCTGTGCTCCTCTTAAGCATTAGAATTTTGCACCAAGAATGTAAAACACCAATGCTTGGTAGTTTGCTCTGCCTGTGGAAAAGTGATGAGTTGAATTTAGGTTTGCTTAAGATGGCTTGAAATGTTTTTAGCTGAGGGGTGATGATACTTCTGTAGCTGACTGAAATCCTTTGAAGGATCCTTCTCTCTGAAGTTCACTTGCCACCTCTGCTCCAGAGCCCAGATTTGTTAACATTCCGTGCATGCTGCAGAGCTCATAGTTTACACAGTCTTTTGACTTGGAGTGGGTTGAAGAGTGATGAAGATTGAATGGGTTTATTATATTTGTTGTTTATTTTAAGCAATTGTTCTTCTCTTGTAGTTTAGATAGTCATCATTGGGCAGGTAATTTCTGGTTTCATATTGTGATCTTTATTTCTTTTCTTTACTTACAGTTGTTGAGTCAGACTTACAGCAAAAAGCTCTGTTCTTATTAGTTGGACAAAACATTCTTGTAGTATGTACTTCAATTTTGTTTGGTTGTAATTGGTATTTGAAGTCATACAATGAAATTATCTATTTTCTTCAAAATATATGTATGATTTTCTATATGCTCCATTTCATATGCTGTTTCTCTCAGGCTACAGAAAAAGAACTGCTTAATAGTCAGCAAATTTGATGTGAATGGAGAGATCATGAAAATCCAAACCCCTAATGGTTCTTCTATGGATGCCATGGGAATGGAGAAATGTGAGCTCTCTATACATAACTAGTACTGTAGATATGCTGCATTATTTATGCATCATCACTGGAGGAAGGATGAAGGTTTGTTGCAAAATAAATGTATAAGTAAATTGCAACAAAAACAAGAAAATTAGTGGAAAAATATATGTATTTGATTTACTCTGAAATTTCATATGTGCAACAGAAGAGTCTGTGGTCCAATTATTGGTCCAAACTCTTAGCTTTGCAATAATGAACATACCTTGGAAACATTGCATTTCCCTATGCAACGACCCTGATCCACTTTTCATTTCTTGTATAATGTATGCTGCATTGCACTATAGCTCCACAGTGGTCTGACATTTGCATTGGCAGCAGTAGGATTCCTGGATATAGGAGAATGACAATAGCCAGTGTGAGAAGGAATGGGTGACAGTCAAGACACTAAACAGATGTAAAATGTCCTGTCAATTCTTCTTAACATCTGTCAATCACAGGCTCTTACTAAATAAGACACCCCTGAGGGTGAGAGCTAGCTACTCTGTTGTCTTGTTATCTTCACAGAAGCTTCCCAGCAGGAAGCATGGTTAGATAGCTTACCTGGGAAACCCAGCCTTTTGCAACCTATATCTTTTAGATGAGCATGGAAAGTAGGAGCTTCTTTTCCTGAGAAGGGCCACTTGGCATGTATGACTTCACTGATGAAGAGGGGCCAATGGAATTAGCATCCAATTTGTATCAGTTCCCATTAGGGTTTGATCAACCCATGTTATCCCCTTAGCTTGCAGCAGTCAGAGAAACACACAGATGTGCCTGTTCTGAAGGCCAAGACAAAGCCTTGTTATGCTTTTTTTTTTTTTTCTTTTCTTTTTTTTTTTCTTTCCCCTCCAATGGGATTACAATGGTCTCTGTTGTCTGGCTTTGTCGAAGTACTCCTTGATTGACAATACCCTGGGAGATGTCACTGTCCTTGCTCCATGCATTGAAATACACTAGTGTACCAAGGGTGCTTTAGGACCTTCGTTCCTCTTTTTTTTTTTTTTTCAGGTATTATAAATGTCTGTCAATACACCACAATGACGACCTCTTGTTGAGCTTACATGTCTGATGCTCTATCAGTCAGTGTCTGTTTGAGGGAGATGCAAAAAAGAAAACTTTAGGTAGTGACGTGAATAGAGGGCAAAGAAATAGGGCAACTTTATTATGGACTGTCATCAGAAAGTAGCATGTGTGGAATGTCAATTTAATAATAGAATTGACAGCTTTTCTCTGGTTTCCGCAATGCCACAAGTGTTTCTTTGACAGTTTAAAAAATAGGTCCTTTGTAGCAGTCAGTGAGTGGTGCAACATACATTTGCGAATGCTCTGCATAATTGAGATTCCCTCAAATGCCATTGCCATAAGACTAGCCCCAAGAATCCTTCTACATTGACTAAGGGTAGTGGTGTATGGAGACCTGGTGAACTTAAACAATGTGAAATATGGTGTACAGTAGTAGGGAAATGCACTATAGCTAAAAAGATGCTGAGTTACCAGTCTGTCAAGAAGGAGTTTCTAAATAAATATAATAATGCATGTGTCATGATAAATATTGCTAAAGGAAGTGGTCATAAATTTTCAAATTTTTCAATTTTCTTTCAACAGTTATTCAGAGAAAGCTTCCACTTGCTGACCATAGAAAAACTGTCATCTAGAGAAAAACTAGAGATCCATACTTTTTCTATTTTTCAACAGAAAAGTGAAAGGAAAAAAAAAAAAGACATGATTTTTCTCCTGATTTCTCTGTATCTGGGAAGAAATTGCAACTAGCTCTCTGCTTTTGTGATCATGAGTACAGCTGTTTTAGAAAGCAAGGCATATAGTCTGGGGAATAATATCACTCTTCTACAAGCTGCAAACACAAGAATAAATTAGAGATGTCTCCTTTGTAATGTGTTCTTTTCAATGTAGAATTTGACATAAATTACCTTAGCAGAGGGCAAGACATATTTCATAATCTGTTTGCAATTCTAAGCCACAAACTTCAAGATTTTTCTTATTACAATTCTAAAATGACAAATAGAAACCACACCTTTGTTTAGGTGTCAACAAAGCAATTTTTCATCTTATGAAGAATGGACTCATTCTAGTAGACAAAAGATATGTTGGAAAGGGGCTTTTATTCCTTTTTCAAAGGAATATGCTAGATCATATATTAGATTGTTCATTTTAATGATAGACTTTTATACCAAGGCTAAAAATAAAATGAATAATCTAACTGAGTAGGATCTCCAAAAGGAAGTAGGAAACATCACAAACATTAAATATCTGTGTATACATGTATATATATAGAGAGAGAAACAAAGAGAACACGAATCATCATTTTATGGCAATAATCCAGTAATGCTACTAGAGCAGACAATCTACTCTAAAGGGCCTATAAACGATGATGATAGCAAGTACTGTAAGTAGACATCTTCATAGACGATGCCTTGAAGCATAATTTACTTTTTGTTTTCCATGGACATGGTCTTTTTAATTCATTTTGGTTTATAAATTCATACAGTTTATTTTCTTGGAAATCTGAACAGACAGCAAACCACATAGTTTTAACTAATTTACCTGTAACAATTTTCTAATATATGCTGACAAATAAATGGTAAATATATAATCAGACAAGGAAGAAAACACATTTCCTCGTCATTTGTCACATTAGTAAAACTGGTCCTGTTTCATAGATGAAATAGTTTGAAATTGAAAAGAAGCAAAGTCAAAGAAAGTACATCAATGTCGAAACCCCTTAGGACAAAGCTAAGCAACCAATTTTTTATTTCCTTTGATGAGTTCATAAGAAGCAATATGTTAATCCTGAAATCATTTCTATTTTGAATGAAAATTCATTTGTTGGCAAGAACAGCAAAATATCTGTGAGTTTTCCTTCTGTGGCTATTTCACGAGAAAAACAACTACTCTTCTCTGTTATGAGATAGCCCCATTTCTCAAATGCCAGACACACATACTCTAAATCAGACTGTTTTTTAACTATTTCAATTTTGAATTACATAACACTTGGTCTTAAACCATAAAAATAATTGCTTAAGGATTTCAACAGTCTTCTGTAAGAAAGAAATCTTTCAAGGCCTCTGTCGTAGCGCAAGTTAGTAATAGGTGCAGTCTCTCTTCATTCTCCTATCAAGGATTCATGCATTATGAAAAAGAAGTAATCTATTACCTGGTTCTCAGATGTTAACATGAATACTTTTCTTTTTCTGATTCTTTCATTTATTATGGTTTAAAATTACAATGTCTGTACATTTGTCAAATGTAACTTCCATCATTTGTTTCCCTGTTAAACGTTCAGTATCTTTGAAGTGAAAGCTTAAGTCAGACAAGCTTAGTTCAGAAA